TGTTTAATTCTGAATGGTTACATTGTTTTTCACATGTAATATTAAGTATAAATGATTTTAAATTATATTTATTATAAAAGAATAAACATACTTTACTTTTTCTTATCTAACGTAAACTTATATTAACATCTGTAATATTTTGCATATAAATTTTATTTATTAAAAATCGATATTGTTTTTAAAAACAAAATTTCTGAAACAATATTTTAGTTGTATGGGATCATGTATATATATACGTATTATATTATAAATTAAATGATTAATTTCTTAATTAACTTAGAGTAGTCTTTGCTATAATAAAATATTAATTTTCTTATGCAAATATTTTATATAAAATTAGGGATCACTATTTCTAACTTATTAAGCATTAAGCTATTGATTAAAAGTTGAATGTAATATTTAAAGACTATATAACATATTTAAAATTTATAATAATAAATTTTGCGCAAATTTAAAAGAACTTTTTATCAATAAAAGGTATTTATAAAATGAAATTGCTTGATTTAAAAAGTAACCAATGCCATTTTAAGTAAGTAATATTAATAATTATTATAATTTTATATTCATTTAGTTAAATATTATAATTTTAAGTAATATATGAAACTTTTATAAAATTAATGAGAGATTAATTATTATTTATATTTGTCGAGCACATTATTAAGATAATGTGTTAAATGAAATAAATTTAGGTAATAAATGAAAATTCGACTAAGTGCATAATATTAAATAAAATGATAATTTGGTGATTTTGCAATAGAAAATTTAATTGATATTATATATAATATTTGTTTCCAAATATTACAATGATATATTAAAAGATAAGGCGACACTGTAAAGCAAGCATGAAAGAAAACTAGGATAGTATCTCTATGTATAAGCTTACGACCATAAGTAGTATATGATATTTAATGCATATACTGGCAGAAACGTTGTTGCAAATAATCCTTTTTGATATTTTCTTGTATTTGAGAACATTAATACGTTAACTATGAAATCTGTCGAAATTTAAGTTTGGTTCCTTTTCTATTGCTGTTGATAGTTTTGAAAATTGTCACTAATAAGATCTAGATCGTTAGATCAATTTTAACAGTGAATTAGTAAATAAATTAAATATAATTTTTTTTTAAATATTTTAATAGTCGGATTTAAAGTTATGCCGTTCGTTCACTAAATATTGCAATGTTAAATTATCCCTTTTTTTGTTAAATAGTATCATATACTTCGTCATAAATATTCCATGCAAATGTATAAGTCAGAAAATTAGGATTTACATTTATCTCATGTAATTATATCTCATAATTTATCGATTTATTTTTATACATTTTATTTGATACATTATTTGAATTAATATATTTATATCTTACAATAAAGAAAAACCATGTTTTTGTTAATAATGCAATTAATATTATCATTTTCAAAGGATTAAAAAGATTTAAAAATTATTTCTAAGTATTTAAAAAAGATAGTTATTTAAATCAAAGAAAACGGGAGCTAAATATATTTAAATACTGTTGAGAAGATGAAAAATGGTCCGCGTGCTTGTGCAGTTTGTTTTGCGCAGGTAGGCACGCAGAGCTCGTGAACGCTCTGTCGTATTATAGTGAAGCCGACCAGTGTCGCCACTGTCTACTATTCTACTTTCCGTATTACGCACATCCGCGCCCCGGCAATGTGGTCCTGCTCGCTCTTGAACCGGGTATCTCGACTTCAAATGCCTGACGCTATCCGTCGATGGAACAGCTTTTACTTCGTCTGCGCCTAGCGTCGGCACATCGAAGCCCTCTAGTTCCCGCTCCGGTCTTTGACGGACGCGTTACAGCTCGACACTCAGTCATCGTTCGGTAGCGAGCCATCTAGCCACGCGTTCCGCCTTACATCGCATTTGCAATTATCTCTAGGATGTCAAGTTTGAAATAGCGCCCTGGGGTATAAATGGAAGATAGATAGTTTGCTACACTGCTGGTGTGAGTATGTCGCTTAGTTGCGATTATAATGACCTGCGCCCGAAGACGATGCGAGTAAGAGATATTTTCACAAATGGTCGAGACGCGGACTGTTGGTCTAGTCAATGGTCGATGCAGGACATCGCGCATGCGCTTCGTTTTGGATATGGATAACTATTGTCGAGAGCTACAAGCGGAACCGCGGACGGAGTCTTCAGATGATAAGGACCAAAACAGTGGGGACTCGAATCGGGCCGACTCCGAGCGATCCTGGCCAATCGAAGCCCGGAAGCGATTAATCAGCGAGTACGAAGACACGCGACTCTACCTTGCCCACGTGCTTTTTCTGAATTGGAGAGATTTGCCAGGCTGTCGTTCGACTCGCCCGGGATGCACTAGCGAGAGGATTTGGTTATTGGGCGCCAGTGACCGTGAGGGTCGGCACCGCACGCGTCTTCTAGTTGTCGGCCGCCATTGGAGACCACGTTGCCTATAGAGTAAATATGATCAGCCAACCGGTAGTCTATGCGGGTGGTGGTATGGGCTTCCTCACCGCAGATCTCTTTCTTTGGTGGTTTCGTCATGAATTTGCACCTACTGTCGTCGCTATGCATCCGGATGGAGCACTTCTCATCGCCGAGCAGGCTGACTATTTACCTTCCGAAGCAGACTGCGTAGCCGCTGATGGTTTAATTCGCCTGCTCGTTATACCAAAAGAACGTGTAAAACTACGTTCCGTCACTAATGAACTTAGGATTCAATTGGCACTTCTTGTACTTCTGGGCGCGTTATCGAAAGCTCGGATGACTTTGGGAGGAGAAGCTAACGTGAATGATACTCTAATGGAAGCTATAGATGAATATGTGAGCAAGTTCTTATTGAAGGAAGCTTTTGCGGAACTACACAGGGCCTGCTTGGCTGTTCGTCCTGAAAGTTTAGCACTTTGCTGGAAAAGAAACGAGGACGGCTGTATTGGGCAACTAGATGAAATGCGAAACGATCTCGTACTTTTAAATGAATTGCATCAACTGGCTTTGGCTGCTGGACTACAGGTAGATGATGAAGATGTGCAAAGTTGGCTATTAATTAGACAAAGATAGTGAAAATGCACAATATTTGGATAAAAAAGAAACAATTAAAACCGTAGAAGATGATCAAATATCTACAGGAGACGAGGAAGAGCAGGAAAAGGAGGTGAGGGCGTTGTCAGTACCAGAGGAGAAAGAAGTTGTAGAACTCCTTTCGCGAGTGCTTCTTTGGATGGAGGCTGAACCCCTTGATCCTTGCTTTCTACTAGTGGTCAGGACTATGCGCACTATCGCTATATTTATGGTAAGCTGTGAGTGAGAAAATGTTTCGCTTATCGATCGTAGAATATAGGAACGCACTGGTAACTAATCGAAAAAGAGAGGGTGTTCGGGAGGATAGCAGCAATGGTGGGAGGAGAAAATAAAGAGAGCATTATCATTAGTCGGAGCATGAAAAAAAAACATGAGAAAATAGTAAGAGAAAAAAACTCTTTCTCTAAAGGTTTTTTTGATACTTTAACTAATTAACTTTATTCAACTAAGATTTTTTATAGAATATGTTTGAAAAGAAAATATTATTAATTTTTTTCAATTCTGAGGTAATTTATTCTACAAATTTATTATGATGTATCGCGAATATTGTCAAATATTAGGAAAATTAAATATACCTAGTGAATTTTTGTTCCAATATATAATGAATCAAATACATATGCCTTGTCAAAATATACTTGTATATAATAACATTTTAAATTTTACTTTTCAATAATTTTTGTTTTATACTTTAATAGTAAATTTCTAGATGCAAGTCAGTTATTGGGAACGTTATTACTTTTAGTATTTTTACTATTTATTACTTTTATTATTATAAATAAATTATTTATACTACAGTGGTTAAAATATTTGATTATTGGCTTATAAATGGATTGACGTTGATTTAACAATAACACAATTAATATTAAATTAAGTGTATTATGCTTATCATTCATGATTCGCATTCTCTGGAATTGGATGCAATTTAAAATCTAAATGCAAAAAATACATATTAAAATTTGTCTACATTCTTTATAATTTAAATATATGTGATAAATGACATAGTTATGCTTTTTCTTTATTCATTTCACGTAACTAGCCGTTCATGTAGGTAGTAAACCATTTTCAACAGTTGGGATTGAAGATCAAAGGGTCCTTCTGCCTTACCCGGCTTATGCGAGACGATAGAGACAAAATTTGCTTTTCTATGATACGAAACATACATATACAGTTATGAATACATATAGTCTCTTTGGACCGATAGAAAATAAAAGGCGAAAGGGGTTCTGAACCTTCCAATTTACCGTGCAAACTCAAAACGTAATAGTCTGGCAAAAATGTTACTCCCCAATTCCCTTATCGCTTAATAGACTGTTACTGTGGAAATTTTTTTTATTTTAATCCTGAAGAAGATCTTAATAAACTACTATACGTATATTGGGTTCATTGTTGATTATTCATATTTTAAATAATAATACTACTTTTATCTATATTTTATTTTTGACATTATATATAAAAATATTTTCATTTGTATTTATGAATTAATTACATTTGATTAATGTATTTGACACGTAGTTTATTAATTTCGGGTCATTAAATTTCTTTTAAATAAATATAATTATAATTAATCAATATAAATAAATTTAATTAAATATTGATTGTTGTAATTCCATTAATAAAAAGCGATTCTACAAACAAAGTTTAATAAGATTTACCAATCAGATCATCATTAGTTTTTCACCTGTTAATGTACACGTTATACACATAATTTAATAAACACAAACTATACATAATATACACATTATATATAGTTGGTATTATATATTTAAGCTGTTAATATTTGTTTAAAATATTTTTTAAGAAAATTACAAAATGCTTTTTATTTGCAATGTAAACTTAAATTTAAATTGATATTTAAAATGTAAAAGTTTATATAGTAAGGGATTTACGAAATAATTTTATAAGGAAATGAGAATTTTTTGGTTTTTGTTACAGGCGAGTAAAATGGGACTGACGGGGACTCATCCTAGCGGGTTGCCGTTTTTCTGTCCAAATGGAGATCACTTAACACAGCCTCCACCAGCTCATATGGGCATCCCACCATACGGAGCTTTAGATGCCGGCAAGGCTGCCGCGGCCGCCGGTGAGTACTGGCCTGCGGGCCATCAACGGGCCGCCGGCTCTCCCTCGCATCCTAGCCCAACCTGGAAACAGCTTCTTAGTGCAGCAGCAACTACGACAGGTCAGACCTAACCTCGCAATTTCTATCACAAGCTCTGACTTCTCCTTTTTCTAGTAACTTGCTTTATCTTCCCTTCATTCATCTTATATATTTTAATTCTGTATCGTTTTTGCTGTTTTTTTTAATATAATATCTACTAAATTCAATGTCTGTGTGGCTATAGCAATAATTATAATTTAATATATAATTTTATACATAAAAATATATGTATAAAATCTTTATTAAATTAAGTTTTGCAAAAAAAATGTTACAATTATAACTGGAAACGGTTTAGTGCATAAGAAGTCATTTATAAAACTAAATACTTAAAACATTTTAAAACTATAGTTGTTATAGTCTCATAGATTTTTATGTGAACATTTATTGCATAAATTTTGTCATAGGTTATTTTATATTTTTATATTAGTAGCATAACTATTAAGATTATTTATATAAAATAATGTATTGAATCGTATTCATATTATTAGTCATTGTAAAGTTTTCTCATAGATTTATCGAGTTTTTTATAATGCAGATTTATATAAAATACAATTGTTAAATTTTATAGGTAAATATAAATTAATTTTAATTTATAAACGCTGATAAATTTCCAAATTTCTAAGAGAAATTTCAACGTTTTGCGTATCATAAAGAAAATTCATTTAATTAATTAATCCATCACTGTATTCTAATTTATAAATTATTAATATATTATAATAAAATCAATATTAATAATATTTAAATAATAGTGTAAAAAACTTCTAATGTTTGATTTTAATTCATCTTACAATTTATTAAATTAAGTATAGAATTTGTACACCTTTCATTTTTAAAAGCCATATCATTTTTATGCACTATTCATAATTTTTATAATTGATTTAAAATTTGCATTAATATTTTTATACAAAAGATATAAAGTGGTTAGTATCTTGGCAAGCTCAATGCATTAGCTTATATAAATTTTCTAGGTTCCTCAATCATCTGCGATAGAATTTTATTGATATAATTGAAATTTATTTAAATAATAAAAAAATACTTTATTTCAATCTGACAAATTTATATATGAGCTATTATAGCATATTTGAAGATGGTATAATTATGATATTTATGATTTATATTGAATTTTATATAGCAATATTTCAAATGTTGAACATAATACTTTCCAGTTGGTGTTTTGTAACAAGAGGCATTTATTGATGTACGTTTTAATATTCATGTAATGAAGTTCTTTAATAAGAAATTAGATTCATACAAATTTGTTTAGTTAAATCTAATTCAGCAGTTATTGAAATTGAGGATTTATTATTGACTGGTAGTATATTTTGCGTATTATTACAATTTAGTTGTATATAAGTTTATCAAATGTTTACATATTTTGCCATTAATTTGCGTATGTATTAAGACTTTTTGTTAAAAAAAAGTATTAAATTTTGTTTAGAAATTAATTTTTTTATATAAATGATTACGAATAATGCAAATAACTTGTATTAATGGCGTTTTGTCAGTAAAACATGATAGCTGTGGAAATAATACTTGCGCTGATTAACGAGCACTCGTGAGCTTTTAAATATCAACATCTAGAAAGAATTAGAAGGAAATTATAGTTTGTTCACGTAGTGATATGTGATAACATTCGTACTTGAGTTCACATATGATTATATACATATTATATATCGTATACAAATAGCTTTGAATTAAGAAGAAATATAGTGAGCTAAAAAAGATTTTAAATATGTCTTAAACATATTATAATATATAAAATAGTCAAAACAGCGCAATCTTCATTTGGTCGCCCAAATAAAATTATCATATTTTTATGTCACTACTTATATAGAAAATTAAAATCAATTTTTATTTAGAGATTTTTTAAAATGATTAAACAAGGTGGAAATTTAGAATGTAATAATCATGTGTTTTTACTGCAAAATGATTTTTTGATATTTACAAAATACTAAATTGTGACATTTAATTTGAAGTTAAACTTTCGCTTGACCATTTTACATAAGTTGAATGATTTCTTACCGATTTCCTATTACTATTCTCCATCATATTATATTCATTCTGTTGCAAATAAATAAAATTAAGATAAACTGTAGAAAGATAATACTAAGGTGATTATTGTTTATAATTTATAGAGAAAAATTAATAGAAAAAGAGAGGATGCAAAAGAGAAAGAGAAAGAGAGCGAGAGAGGGAGAGAGAGAGAGAAAGAGAGCGAAACGATGTTGAATAGTTGAAATTTAAAAGAGTATAAAAGAACAAAAGCAAAAGAATTAAAAACTGACGGTATTGAGTAGTGGATGCCTGTGTAAAGCCCGTGGCGTGAGTTCATGTAGCTCTTGCTGGTTATTCAAGAATAAAAGAGTAATTTTCCGAATGGTGAGACGTCGATAATGGGGTTGCAGACTGCTGAGTCGACTAGAAGGTGATTAAGCATACATGACAAAGTCTACAAATTTGCATAGGATATTACAAATCTTTTTCTCTCCTTTTCTTCTAAAGCATTTTTCCGTACTTATTTTCATTTCGGTATAATTTATTTTTAGGTGGTACCAGTATCTTATTTATATCTGTTATTGGCAATCAACTGTAATCTGCTATTGTAATCAATTTGAAATTATTTTTTATAATTAATTTAATTATAAATGAGAATCAGTCAATAATTATTTTTTCTTTATATAAATTAGTTTCAAAATATTATATTTACTAAAAACATAAATAAAATAAACTTTACTTATAGCTACATACTGAATTATTGTGAGAACATTTATATACATTTTTATTAAATAAACGGTTTAAAATATATTAAAAATGGTATTTTTTATAATGTTGTAAATGAATACTTTCTGTAAATTCAAAGACATTAACTAAATTTAACAAGAAATATAATAAGGTTCCTAAAAGTAAGCGTTGATTCATTACACAGACAAATAAATCATAATAAATTTTTTTAGATAACTTTGTTTATTCTACTTTTTAACAAATTTTTGTATAAGCCAGTTTTTCCCTACTAGAGAATCAAAATTAGTCAAAAAAACTCGAGTAAAATTATAGAACACAACTGTAATATATTGTAAATGAAATATAAGATTAAATAATCTTAAAATATGACAAAAATTATTATAAGAATTTATAAAATTATTTATCTCTAATATTTTTATATTGGTTTATAAATGTACAGTTATTATATATATATACGTTATCATCATTTTATAATTTTTATAAAGCAAATTATATAATTTATATTTAAAATTTAAATTCAATATTTTCATATTTTGTAAAACCATAATTTTTATTTAAAAATTTGTGATATAACACTTGATAAGTTATTTATTTTTATAATTATTTTCATTTTATACAATAATTTTACATACAGAAATGATATGAATTATTTAAAAGTATATTATTTTAATAAATACAATTATTATAATAATATAAGAATATATTGAGATATATACTTATACTGAAATCAAATATTTTTATACTATTGAATCAAGATATACATTTTAATAATAAATACATATTTTAATTTTAAATAAATAAATAAATTTTAACAATAAAATAATAATTTGATTTGCTTGAAAGACCGACAGTTGATAAAATATGATATAAACTAATAAAAATTAATAAATAAAACTGAATAGTAATAGAATTTAAAAATAAAATAAAAAAAGAGTTAATAAATGGAAATAATAGTAAACTATGAATTAAATTAAAAATAGAAGAGAATTTAATTATGAAGAAACCTCATTTTACACATTGAGCACATACAAATATACTCAAATTGTTTGCTTATTAAAATAATTTATAGTAGTACTTTTAATTATTTTATACAATAAATGATTCAAATGGTATTTATTTTTATTAAATATTGATTTTAATGAAAATAATATGTTGAATTAAAGAAAATTATTAATTTTTATGTAGTCGTAATCATCTTATTTAAAATGTATAAAAGAGCAAATATAAATTACGATTAATTTAAATTTTTTATCATATTAATTTACAAAAAAACAAACGAAAATTGAATATTTATTGAATTATTCTATTTTGTATTTAGGTATTAAAAATGAATTTAATTAATTTCAATATTTTTTAAACGCATGCAAGAATGTTTATATAGAGATAAAATGAATAATAGGGTACGTGTAAATTAAGAAGTAAAAAAATAGTTTAATACTTTACAATTTCAGAAATACCCACGAATGAAAAAGTTTGTATGGTTTTTTGGTTACAGAGTAACTATATAAATAGTAAGTGAATAAAATATAGTTGTGTAGTCGCTAAGTTATACATAAAGGCAGAAAAGCCTGATTATGTCATTGCCGCGGGCAAATAGCTCGATCACGAAAAACCACGCGTGCCACTCCCCTTGACCGGAATCATTCGTTGGACGAGTCGTAAAGCTTGTGGCACTGTTAGGAGAGGGAAACTCAAGGGGAGTGCGGTGCGATTGCGGTTCTGCTTTGCGGCAGGATTACGAAAAACCGCGGTTCCGCGTTATATTGGCTTCATCAAGTTTCGCCACGCAGCGCCTCTTGTATCCCTTACGAAGGCAATTATTGTCAGTATCAAAGGCGCGAGTAGCATTTTGTGGATATCTCTGAATATACTGTACGTATAGCCACAGTTCTACACTTTCCATTTCTCGTTAGCGTTAATCCAAGTTAATGGAAGCGGATACGCAATTAGTCAACTGGTTTTACCATTTTATACTCTTTCCGTGTTTTCATCAAATGTTTATATTGGCTTTTATATTTTTGTTATTATATTATAAATATTTTTTATTTTAATCAATAAAACTGTTACGGCAGTATAACATATTATTACAGTACCAAATGAAAATGACGTGGTTAAAGAGGCAAACCTGATGTTGGAACATTTTTTAGATCAATAAAGGCGTTATAAAAGTTGATTTTCTAATTAATTAAAATATATCTTCGTTAAACAGAACATTTTTTATTAATTTTTTGTAATATAAGACATTATTTTAAATAATAATAATTTATCTTACATTAATATCAGTACATTACATACGATCAATTTTGTTAAATTCAGGAGTTTAAAAGATTAAAAAAATTTTTTTTTAAACTTTTTTTTAAATAATGACAAGAAATATAACAAAAAAGTGCATAATCATTGTACTGGTATGTATTTTCACCACAATTAAATGCAAGTATTTGATTGCAATAACGCGATGAATAATATGGTTTCATTTTTTTCTCTTCTTAATGCTATTATTGTTGTTGTTTGATGATGCCCTTTAATTTCTTGTTTTTATATCATCTCTATTTTTGTCACAATATAAAAATATTTAGTATATCATCCCATAATCTTTTTAAATATTAGATATTTATAATAATTAGATAAGCTATTTCTTTCCTTTCATTTAAACGACGTTCATATTAAATAAATAAATATTATTAACTCTCCCATCATAAGTAAAAAATCACCATTCTTTGAATATCGATATTGTACTTTTTATTTTTATTGTTAATAAGTTAGCATATATAAATAAACTCATATTTTTGAGATACAATTTTACACTTAAATTTATAACATATGATATAAAAAGACACTTTGAACATTACAATTTTACATAGTATACTGTATTAACGAAAAGTAATTTTACATTATTTTTATAACTTTCAATATGAATCTAAGATTGCTTTTAATTTTTTAAAAAAGATAGATATTCTTCTTTATTAAATAAAAATAGTACCATGTAAAAATGTAATTACACTGAACATGCAAGTTTAATTGTTTTGAATATTTTAGTAATTAAACACAGTCAAATGTTTAAACATTAATTTTATTTTAATTTGAGTCATGTCATTTTATGTAAATTTATTATTTAAAAATGATTTATTAATAATTTCGAATCTATCATAAAAAATAACTTACATTTATTAAAGATATAATAATAAATGATGTGATAGTGTATATTAATAAAGTTATTAAGAAACTACAAGTTAGAAGATTTTTAAAATTAAATAATAAATAAGTCTAATATTAATACAAAATTGCTTTATGGCTGCAATATTTCAGATGGTTAATCATACTTTTGAAGAAGTTAATGAAAAATCTATACATATAATTTAAACAGATAATAATTTTAAAGTAAATTGTAAAATTTGTCCATATCTATCATAATATTCTGATGGGTCTCTATTCCTCGTTATTTATTTATTAATAAGTAATTAATTAGAGTTATATATATAACATCAAATACCCAATGTATGTGTATAGAATTATAGATAGGCTTTTTATACTCTATATATTTTTTGTGAAATTTTTACAGGTGACAGAACAATTCAGATTAAATCCATTTAAATATAAAAATATTTTTAATTAAATAGTTAAATATTTAAAATTGAGAGTAATTGTAATAGAAAATTAATTATCAAATACAATAAGAAAAAGAAAAGTAAGATAACATAGAAATTATTGTAAAAGTATTAAAAGGAAAAAAGAAATGTATAAATGCTGTGTCTACTAAAAATGTCTCTTTTTAGGTCTGACAAGGGCACCGATGTATCCATTCTCCACAAGTCAATACCCCTATCCGATGCTTAGTCCGGAAATTACTCAAGTTGCCGCTTCCTGGTAATTATCAATCCTAATTGATTTTTTCTAGACAATTGTTTTGTATGTGATAAGAATGCGCCAAGCTCTTTTTAAAAGGAAAATACGGCGATAAGTATTTGTTACAATCTTAAGTTCGTTGAAATAAGAAGAAATCGTAAGAAAGGAAAGGAGACAAATGCCTAGTTGGTCATCCTCTCGGTTCCGGTCTATTAGGCCGTGTACAAGCACTAAAGTGAACTCACTTAGAAGGCTATCTGGACCCTTCTCTTGTGTAATACTTGTTATTTGTTTTCTGCTCCAGCCACTTTGAATTAAGATTTTTCACAGTTGATTAAGTCCATTTTTCCTCAATTACACGATCGCGACAATAGTAACCAGAAAGGAGTTTATCTATTCAGTTAACTAATCAATTTTGCAGCGCATTTTATTATTAACATAAATTTTAATGATAATTTAACATAAATTGTATTGTTCACTGAGTTATTTTTATTTATAGGCATACGCCGAGTATGTATCCGATCTCTCCCGCGAGTGCGGGATTTCGAAGCCCATATCCAACAAGCTTGCCCATTACTAGTTCAAGTTTACCTAGGTTGGTATAATATAATAATCTCATATTTATCTGTTTAATTTTTGTAATAAGTATATACAACGCTTTTAAATATAAACTAAACAATGTATCTTTTACCATCTTCACTTTCTTGTCTTGCGAAATAATAATGAAGCTAAATATAGTAACAATTGGTAAAAAAAAATTTTTTTAGTGATCTTTACCGATTTTCACCAACGGGCCTTATGCCCCCGCATCCCGGTCTGAGTCCACACGCGCATGCGCTAGCATCTCATGCATTGGTTTCCTCTGCTCCGAAAGCGGATCATTCTACCTTGGATCATAATCACAGGTGAGATAAAAGAAAAAATTTCTCTTAATTAACTCTCAATTGTGTTCTTTATGAAAGCACTTCATTTTCATATTATTTATTTCTTTATCACCTTTGATGTACTGATATAAATTTTTACTTATATTTTATTTTGTAATTATATTTAGAATTACTTCTAAGAATAACATTTCCATCGAGCAATTGAATTTTTTATAATAAATTTATACGAATATAACTAATTTTTTGAGAAAAAATATTAATTAGAAGTCTTAAGATATTAATAATAAATATTAAAAGATATAAGAAAAGCATTATTAGTTTAAAATTGTAAATTACAATAAAACAAAGTTTAGTAAGTGTACAGTATAAAAATTAAGTTTTTTTATTTAAATCAAGATTGTTTTAGACAGTTATAGATATGTAATACTATCATGTACGTGAATAAATAAACAAATGCAACGACATAAAGAAATTACACCCTTTTTAAAAAAATATTAACACTGTTATTACTTAAAAATTTTAAATACTTTAAAGTCATCCCTTTTTTAATCAAATAATCTATTTTCGAGATATGGTGCTTACTTATAATTAAAAAACTTATAATTTAATTATTTCAAGGACTTCCATTATGTGCCGTAAGCCTATTTGTCATGTTGACATTTATTCATCCCTTGCTTTGTTACTATATTATCTATATATTCATTCCTCTGATCGATAAGAAAGAAAACTGTTGCTGGTGTCTGAAGTGAATGTAGAATTGCAATGAGGATAAGTTGGAAACATGAAGATCGGAAAAATCCAGCTCGATACATAGAAAATAAACACGGACAATTCGTTGCAGCTGTTGGTATCAAAGGATAAAGAAGAAGCATCGAATGTTAAGTTTCGAGGCCAACCGTATGAGGGTAGCACTTCGAAATTTAAAGACTGTTTTTGGGGTAAAACTATAGATTCTACGGAGGAGACAAAGATAGATGGTCGGAGAAAATGAGAGGGAGTGAGTGTGAATGAGCGGTAAGTGAGAGAGAAAGAAAGTAGGAATCTGAACAGCCCCTTGTTGTGGCGCATCAACGGCTCCATAACTCTGATTGAATGGCAGACTGGTGTTTCGTATCGCGTAGACAAACTCACGGGGCGTCTGCGCTGATTCATCCTTGCTCTCTTTCTCTTTCTGCTACCTGCTACGTCCTGTATTGATCATTACCTCTTAACCAATTTGTAATTTGTATCAGTACTTTTAAACCTAATGTTTTTAACTGAAATTATAAGTATATTGATTTAAAATTAAGCTGAATTAAAATTGGAGTTAATGTTAAATTTAAATTTAAAGGGAGAAATTGGGGTTGAGTAAAATTTTATGTAGAGTGAAAATTCTATGAAAGTTCAGCAAGAGAGAGAGAACGGAGTTAAAATGATTATTTAGTAAGAGGGAGAAACGTAAAAAAGATTGGTGAAAATTTGAGTGTTCGTATGTACTTGCGGTAGTGTTCTCGCGACGGTAGCGCCGCAACAGTAGCGAAGCCCGCCAAAAAAAAAATGGAATTTTCACCCTTGCTTCCCTCTTCAAGTAGTTTGTACTCGAGGATTCAAGGGTGAGATACTCGTAATTGTAAAAAGGTAGATATTCTAAAAAGACAGAGAGAGAAAGAGAAAGACATGAATTGTAACGATGGGCCGATGCGTCGTGCATTCGTCACCCACCACCACAAATAATCAGTCGAAACATTGCTCTCCGACAATATTACTATGGCTCAACATATACAACTACATGAAGTGTTGCAAGTCAGTTCCATAACATAAGTACTAAATAAAGAGGAGCTCTCTGATGCTGAGTCGAAGGGGATGAAAGTGAGAGCGCTCGTCACTGGACAAGAGGTCTTGCCCAGTTAGGGGAGTACAATGAGTCTCGTCGACAAATTACAACTAGGAGACAAGGGATGGCGAATCGTTGTTCCTGCCGTTGCTGCTCTTATTTTTGCTGCTACTGCTCATATTTCGACGAGTCTGTCGAATGAAAAACTCAAGTGTCAGACGGGCTTTTTATGGATTAAAGCAATAGCCTACTTTTATATTCTCGTGTTGTTATAAACAGTTAAATGTCATCAATTTTAATGCTAATTATCGCGGAGTAGCGAAATTAGCTATGGATGACTTCATGTGGCCCTGCTTATTGAAGACTTCTTTATTTATAGCTGATACTTCGAAAGCGTTATCTATCGATCATCTAGCTTTAACAACGAGTTAATCATTCTTTTTCATGGGAGTGAGGAAACTGTAGATGAGTAATCTAACATTGTGAAATATCTCTTGTCCAGTATGCAATTTATTAAGTTAATTTTTTCATTTTGAATGGTTTTACCATAAAATAATAGGTCAATAAAAAAACTGATAACCCCCCATGGCGATGGAGCCCGAATGTTTGGAACCATTGAACTTAGTCATAAAAAAAGATAGCAACACAAATGAATCTGAAATAAACGAAAAAAATACTATTCCAGTACAAAAAATCGAAAAAGGAAAGATTCAATTGAAAATTGAAGATAATATGACTGTAATACAGGATGTTGTAAAATCTACAGAATCAGGAGTACCAGGTGCAGATCAAAAGTTTCTCACTGCTCTATACATGAGTAGTTTAATGCAAATGTCTAATGCTTCTGCACTAAGAAATATGTCACCCAATCCATATAATGTTCAGCAAAATTTTATGCAGTTACTTGCTATGGTAGAAGCAAGGCATCGCATGTGGCAACAACTAAGTTGGCCTATAGCTCCTAATTTTCTTCGTAACCCTATTGGACTACCTCAACTTTACTATGATGGAGCTTTGACTAGTATAAATGAGCAATTATGCAATTCTTCTATTCTGACATGTCCTTTACCCTCTACAAAACATGAACAAACAAATCATATTACAAAACAATCAATTTTAAAGCGGTATAAAATAATTCAATATTACTGATTCAATATAAATAACTGATATTAATATAATTATTTTGTTTTTAGGTCTACGATAGAACCAAAAAATTCTGCATCATTGCCTGCTGGTGACAACACAAAAAATCAAGATACAGGGCAACAAAATAATCAAGGTAATAGTTTTTATGTTTTTACTTTTACTTTAAAAATATTGAAATACATTAATTTATTAATAGTCAATTAATGAACAATAAAGAAGATTTTCAATCAATATATTAAATTAATAGAATAAATATATTAGTGATATTTTATTACATTACCAAACATAACCTATTATTAGATTAAATCTTATTAATAATTATTTATTATTTACTTATATTTAAAATTCAATATCTAAATTTGAATATTTAAAATAAATATTAATTGATTCAAATTTGTATTTATAATGCTTTTTGTTACATTTCATTACAGTTCTAATTTTTAACTATTTTTATTAAAAATGTTATTATATTAACCTATAAATTTAATTTCTTACAGACAAAAAGAAACCTCATATAAAAAAGCCTTTAAATGCATTTATGCTGTATATGAAGGAAATGAGAGCAAAGGTAGTGGCAGAATGTACGTTAAAAGAGAGTGCTGCAATAAATCAAATTTTAGGACGAAGGGTAAGTACAATATGGTTGTTTAATTAGTAGTAACTGTATATTCAGACATCGAGTATAAAATTTTTTATTAGAAAAAGTAGGATACAATAATTAATGTATTTTAAAGTCAGTCTTGATATAAATAAAAATAAAAATGATATATTTTTCAAAATTGTTTAGATAAATTTCTAAATGATTTGATTACTATTAATTACTGTAAATTTAATAATTTAATTTTAATTTAAAACTTTTACATAGATTGTAAAATTAAAAGAAAATTAATATTCAAAGTAATTAGTAAATATTGTCTCAAAACTGAAAATAAATAAATAAAAAAACTGTTCCTAATATTATTAGCTATAAGTTAACCGTATTTTAGCACTAATAGAACATTGAAGGTGGGATCTAAGGAATAGAAACAACTGGGTAGTTTAATATATTTGCTAGCGCAATAAATAAGGTTATGGAACTCAGGGTTTCAACGAAATGTTACTGAATAAAGTACAATAAAATGTCGTATGTTTATGGCAAAAATTGAATACTTTTGGGGGTATGTACACACAGTGGCATTCACTAAGTCGAGAGGAGCAACAACGATATTATGAAGCTGCCAGGCACGAACGTCAACTACATCAGCAGCGATATCCTGGTTGGAGTGCCAGGGATAATTATGGATACGGAAGCAAGAAGAAGAAGAGGAAGAAAGAGCGATCCGCGGATCCCACCGGAGGTACCACTTTCCAGTGCTAGAACAGCAGGCCTTTAATTTACACACATACATACTCACGTACGCACGCACGCACGCGCGCACACATATGCCACACGTTTGGTGTATTTGTGTGTACGCGCGCGCGTGCGTATGTATGTATATATATGCATATATGCTCTTATGCATACCCATGTATTTGTATATGAATATGAATATATATATATATATAAATATATGTGTGTGTGTATATATATATATATATATATATATATATATATATATATACTATATATACTTTCAAATATTTATTAGTTTTATCTGTTGATTCAATTGAAACGATCAAAGTCTTTGTGCGTTTCTCTTTTCGTTGTTTCAGTTCTTTTTTTCTATACTTTCATTAAGGACGACATAATGATGGGATGACTGATATATCACAAATCAATTATAAAGTAACTATGCGGCGTCATTACACTGTCGCATTGGACTATGAAATTAAATCGACTTTTATCATATCATTATAATGAATTTCTCTATATTGGATTGTCTGTAAGAGATTCTGTGGAGCGTTCAAAGTAATATTTTCTTGTCTTGTATATATCGCGTTCTATTGTAAAAATCGCATATCTGGCCAACTCCCTAAAGCAGTATTCGTCAAATTAGATAGCAAACTACTTTATAAAAAATAATTTTGTTATAAACAATTTTTATGAATAGAAATTTTCTTTGGATTGTATAGGATATTCTTTGTATATAACAAAAGCAAAATAACTTTTGTTATTTATTAAAAAAAAGATTAATTAAGAGACATTTGAAATACACCACTATTTTTTTAATCATGGATGAACTAATTTATTTCGAAGATTCAACATATATTGATATTTAGATTTTTGTAAAAAAATCTAAAAACCATTTCTGAAATATTAACGTTTAATTAAAACATTGACGAATTATTTAATCAATTTAAAATAGTGTTTATGCAATTTTTATATGCATAATATCAATGCTTATAAATTATTTTTTTTAGCAGAATGCAATGCAAGGAGTAAACAATAATAAAAAATACTACTGTTGATTTTTATATCATTACTTTTTCAGAGGTTAAAAAAAGTTTGAAAAAAATGGAAGTGTCAATTCTGACAATCATGAAAAAATGAAAAAATCTCTTCGTTTTTTTTACTATCCTCGTTTTCCAGACAACCTATATATATATATATATATAATACAGGTAGTACCTATCATAAAGTCAAACAGGTGAAACGAAATAAAAAAATACAAACATGAAATTAAAGTAAATAAAATAATATCGCGAGTAGTTCAGACAAATTTAGGCTGTTCTTCTAGCACTTTAAACGGAAAGTAGGAACCCCAATGTCTCATTTAAATGTTGGTCTAAATACTATGAATGCAGTGTATTAATATACCAATAGATTTAAAAATATAAAAATTTTCTACAACTTTATCCACTCGAGTAAAGTTATTCAATTATAAATAGCAAGGTGTAATAAAACAGTTTTTGTATTCAATTACTTTAATCGAAACTTTTTGCCTTGTCTTAATTTTAAAGTTTAAAAATAATTAACAGAAAAAGAGTACTAGTTCATTGAAGCATTGTAAGCAAAACTTTTTATAAAGTGTTTTGATTCTCTATCTATCTCTCTCTGTCTGTCTCTCTCTCTCTCGTTAGTGGCACGCGCTAGGGCGAGACGAACAGGCCAAATATTATGAATTGGCACGACGGGAGAGACAGCTGCACATGCAGCTGTACCCTGACTGGTCTTCCCGCGCAAATACCAACCGAACTAAGAAGAGGAAGCGCAAACAAGACACAAACAGTGATCCTGGAGGTACTCGCAATGCCTCGTTCCACTTATATACGACTTTTCCCGTATTCCATTTCTTCCTGTTCCATATTGCCTTTAATTCCAATTCGACCTAATATATTATATGCTATTATAATTATATTAAAATATTGTTTTTCATTATTTATTCAACTATAAATATATGCATATCTCCACACGTATATGTGTGTATACGCGCGCGTGCAGACATGCAAGTCCATACATGATATTTACATACATACAAGTTCATACAAACGCACGCGCATACATATACGCTCATTTTACTACTACATTGTAAACACTATGTTGCATGATTTCCCCGTTCCAGGGGTTTTTAATTGATATGTATATTTATTATGTTGTTATAAATTCTTACACACAGGCGCGCGCTCTTGCACACACGCACGCGCATACACATCAGTATTACATATACACTTCATTTCGTGCGCGAGCGTGTGCATGTTCTGATAGTTTGCTATTATTGCGTCCGCAATTAAAATCATTGTCAATGGCAATATAATATATAATGAATATTACGTGTATATATATATATATATATATATATATAATTATAATTATATTTATATATATCATATAATACCCGTACACGCACGCGCACATACATATACTATATTTATTATATTAATTATTTATACGTATACAACTTTGGGGACGCTGGCCATCTTGCATTTTACAGGAACCTAATCCACGCAATCAGACAATCCTGAAGCGTTTGATTTCTTTTAGTATATTTACACTCTTTATCTTTTTCTTATAACTTATATTTGATTTTTTAAATTTATTTATAAATTACAATTAATTATTTATTTTTCTAATTCATACTATATTTATTTTTGTTTCTTATCTATTTTCTACTTTTTATAATAGATTATGATGTTCTTCCTTTGATCGTTTCAACGCTACCTGTTTTTTATTAGATTTTATTTGCTTTTTTTATTTTCTATTTAAATATTAAATATTATCCATATAATAACAATAGTATTAATATTTCATGTATCTCATTACCCTCAATTAATCATTATTTTTCACCTTACATACAGCACTTAATCCTTACGATTTCACTTGTTTGAGCTTTACTGTTAACTAAAATCTGTTTGAAGAATATTTAAATATATCTAAAGCTTTTATAACCATACAAAAATCATTGTACGTAGTCTTTAATTTGCTTGAGCTTATTCTTAAAGCAACAAACTTTGGAGTGTCTTCTGAAAAATATGTTATAATAGATGGTCACTAAAAGAAATAATAAACTAATGGATTTTATTGTCATTCATATTTCTTTGGAGCACTCAGCCAAACAATTTCGAAGAAAGCATTACAATTTATTGCACGTTCGAGTTACAATTCTTGCTTGATTTTAGAAAATCGCAACATTTTCATTCGTATATGTTCTTCCTTAAAATTTATCATTGTTTATATTATTGCATAAAAGGAATTTTTATTTTTAACATAAAATTTGGTTGAAAATATTAAATTGAAATATATTTATAAATATTTTTGGAAGATTTTATAAGTGTTTATGTTGCATGTAAAATCAATATTATGTAAAAATTGGCACGCATAATAGTTGTTAATAACTAATATTGGTACATATTAAATCAAATCAGTTTAAACATATAATTTTGTTATTAAAGTCACATCTATACTACCAGGTATTGAATGATGTACGCTAAAGTATTCGATAAACACTTTTGGCATATTTCATTGTTTTTTCTCTGTAAAATAAATAAAAATAATTCACAGCTTTTTAAATGTGTATACGCGATTGACGCTTGACTTTTAAAGTAGATTACAGCATGTAAATAATTTAGTGAATTATTTTTATGTACGCTTTTAGTGTTGATTACATTTCAAAAATACAAAAAATAAATTATTTCTTTCTGTTCATAGGTAATAACATGAAGAAGTGTCGTGCAAGGTTTGGACTAGACCAGCAGAGCCAGTGGTGTAAGCCTTGCAGGTATATTAATAATTTTTTTAGAAATACTTATCAGAAAGAAATATAATTGTTTAAAAAATGGACTGAATTGTTCCTACATTGATATGAAATACGTAAGCATACATATGTAATTTTACTTTTATAGTGCAATAATATGATTCTCTTTACAATAAGCAAACATTTAGTTAATTTTAGTCAATCGCAATAAAATAATTTTTTTTTACAAAAAACTTATTTTACAAATCATTTAATTTAAAATTAAAAGAAATTTAATTTTAGGTTTTTCATTAAATTAATATTTATCCAATTATATACAAGTAAAAATATTTCATATCAATATCAAACGCTTAAAATTTTCGTTATCCACATGTATAAAAATATTTCACGTGAAGTTTTGGTTACACGTTAAATGATAGAGCAAATCACAGTATGAAAACATTTGATTACAATATGCACAGTGATGCAGTTCGTCAGAAAATGTGTCTCCTAAATTGATGAAATATCTCTGTATTTCTTCAATGAATAATAGTGTCTGATAAAATTGTATGTTGTATTTTTTATATCTGCTTAGAATTTTCAGGAATTCATTAAATTATCAATTTGATCCGATACTTTTTAACCAGATCACTCGAAGATACTTTGTAGCTGTGTAAATGCTTACAGATAAATAATATATTGGCATTTATTTATTCTAGTAAAATAAAAATATATTTTACTATGAAAAATTTGTGGGCTGTAAAAGCTGTTACTTTTAGCGAAGTAGAGTCTTATGTAGTCTAATTGAAAATGTAACTGAAAATGATAATGTAAACTTAAAGTAATTCATAAACATTTACAATTGTAATTCTAATTTCAACTTATATTGACAATTAATATAAACATTTGAATTAATTATTCGTATCTCAATATAATCATTTAAAGTAGCCTAAACACCCTACTTAATGCCCCGACTCCCGGCTGGGTTTATAAATATCATAGACAGATGTTATTAAAGGGGTAGAAAGTCTAAAAACTGGTGGAGACCTATTTTCTGATGACTTTTGATTGTCGACCAATGAGAATGTGTATAAACTTCTTTTGATTTCAATAAGCATGTGGTTGACGATACCTTTTACACTAGGAAATAAAAGATAGAACTAAAAGTAGGTTTTGTAAAAAGCAAAAGAATTTTGAATAAAGCAATGTGTGTATTAAAAAGTAAAGAAAAGTAAAATAGGAAACGTGAGCGCCTCTTTAATGGCTGGTGGTTGGTTTTGGCAGCCCAGTGGAGCATGGAGCGGGGATGGGCATCCACGCGAGCATAATCCATCACGGTGTGGGAAGTAGCGCGGGGAGTGGTGGCGGCGGCGTTGGCGGGGTTGGGAGCGGCGGTAGTCAAGCCGGGCAAGTTGGTGGCGGTGGTAACGCCGCCCCAGTCCCGCCGAATGCCAATACTGCTTCCAACGCCTCCTCGCCTCAGCAAGAACCCACTTATGTTAATCTCTAGTCAAGCCTATCGCCTCCCTTCTACTGCAACACTTCTTCTTAAAACAGTGGTCAGTCCCGACACTCAAGCCAAATAGGACCTAAACTCGCTTCCCATGTTCAAAAGCTCATATGATATCTTCGCCCCCCCCCTCTCTTCTTCCTTCCATTTTCTCCAGACGCGTGCCCACGTCTTTTTTAATAATAATAGCTTAGAGCAGGGAAGCGAGAGGTTCGAATGCTCGCATTGTTTCTCATTGTTGTGGCTCTTTACGGCTTTTTATTCTTATTTTTTTTCTTTATTTTACATTTATATACAAACATAGTTTTCAATCATTTGATATCAGTGTTGCACTTAGCATGGCTGATACACATTTATTATATTTTTTATTTATCTTTTCTACGTACACGATCTATTATGTGTGTGCATAATGTATACGCAAATAAGCGTTGCGGTTTTTGCTTCTACTTACGGAATTTTTTCTTGTGGTAAAAATGCATACTTATATATATATATATATATATATATATATATATATATATGATACACAAAATTATATGCGTGTGTTGTGTGTATGTATGTATGCACGTATGTCTGTATTTATATGTGCGTAATTTTATCTAATTTTAGCATGGCTACTATTATGTTTACCAACATGATGATGATGCTGTTTTTTCTTGTAATTTGTACATAGTATGTGTTTTAGCTAATTATTTAACGTTTTTGTGTATTTACGTACATACATATATATTATAAGAGTATAACAAAGCTTGTCGAGTATAATTAGTCAGAATGTATTTTTTATTAAAACGTCGCGTGAATGTGAAGTCTTAATTTTATCGTTTTAATTGTATAGACACATTTATATATCGTGTATTAAAATGAAGGTTAATTTATCGTCGTGTTGTTTGTCGTTCAGGAGATGCATAATGAGAGCCAATGACAGAGTGGCATAAATGTCTTGACTGTAGTACCGCTGATGTGTAAAAATGCCTCGTCGGTGCGATCGAATCACGTGTTGGAAACTATGTACCTTACACTTATTTACCGCTTACGTATAAATGTTTCTTGCTATACATGGTTCACACACGAAAATATTTTTAATATACTGTGTCTGGCATTTTATTTTGTTTATACATACAAATAATTATATTTGTTTGCCTAACACATGATTGATGTTATACGCGCGCGTGAATGTGTGCACATAAGTATAAACTCATTTATACGTACTTAAAAAAATATTCATTACACGTCCACCATCCCATATTCTTTTCCATTATTTTAACTTTTTTTAAAAGATTTTTTAATTTTCTAAAGCATGGCAATATTTCCAGCGAGTGATTATTTTATTTTATTTATAACGGGAAAACGCATGTCATGTGATAATACAGGTATCCCTTAGATGCGTTTAAAGTTATATTATACGTCTATACGTGAACGCATGCATATACAGACATAATCATTGTTGTGTACACATGTGTACGCTAGATATCTTAATTTATCTAGGTGTATGATAGGTATTTGCATTTGAATTGATTAATTTTAATCGTTATTTTGATCATTTTTCAGGCGTAAGAAGAAATGTATTAGGTACATGGGGGAAGGAGGAGAGGGTGATGGCGATGGCGACGGCGAGGCCGAGGACGATCATTCGGAGGACAATTTGGGTAGCGTAGGTGAGGCCGGAACGCCCGAGGACGATGAATCTTTGAGCAGCCCCGGTGGCTTGTCCGGTTTATCTAGTCTAGCAAGCCCTTCATTGGTATTGCCCTCACCCTCGAGTTTGGCCAGTCCCTGTCCCTTGACTCCTCCAGTACTGATGGGTCCGAGTGGACATCAACAGCAACAGCCCCAAGCTCAGGTTCAAGCCCAGCAGCAGCCGGCTACACCGCATCGCAATCCGGTTGGGACAAACCCACATGATATAAACAATCCACTGAGCGTTAACCAATTGACGGGTCAATGCATCAAGACGGAGCCGGGTCCGCAGCCCTCTAACCCTGCGATAAGCGTCACGTAGCCCCGGCTGCAGCTCGCAGGTCGCGGTAGCAAAGAATATTCGTCTCTTTATACCGCGACGCGACGCACAAATACTCAGGACTCAAGTTGTCCTCCTTACGTTGTGATGCCAATGACTGACCAAGTCATGTTCCTGTGCCAGGTACTATATTCTATTAAGAGTCTACATAGCGAAAAACAGACATTAGCTCAAGGATTATGCGATAGCCGAACATTATTATTATTACTATTATTATCATACATTCATTTTATTATGAACGCCTCATGTGTCAAAGCCTCCAGATCGATTCCTATCCTGTACGATTGTCGTTTGTTATTTTTTTAAAAGTCTATTTGTAAATCAATGATTCCTTCAATATCCCAATATCCTAATTCCCTTTTTATCCTCCCTCTATTCCTTATATATTCATAGTTTGCCCTACTTGGGCTTAACTCTTACTTATTTGTCCACACGTTGAGTGACTTTTTAAATAGCTTTTTAAAGTCTTCCATTATAAAGGTCTATGATCCTTTGAAATTTTTATTAAACACGATTTTTACATTTTTAGTTTAAAGTATTTTTTTAGTATTAGGTAGAAATCGCCGTGAAAGCCATTTTTGATTTATTGGTCTGAGTATGTTTAAACCAGTGAATCAGTCGTTTTTTTTAACTATTTTAATATTCTTGCATACACGCGCACAAATTGGTATAAAGGATTCATGTACCATCTTCCTTTGTTCCTCTTTTATATCTCTATTAAAACATTCCCGATATGTGAGGAATTCAACGTCGAATATTTGGTCAGGAAACTAAAATTTATTGATGAATTAAAAAATGTTGCAGGCTACTTATGAGAAAACAATGTTAAAATATTTATATTCGTTTAGACCGATTTTAATTAAAAAAGTGTGTATGTTTCAACTTTGTCTACAGGCTGTTTTATTGACTGAATAATAAGCCTTTGGTTTGCAATATATTGCAATGAAAAAACCAAATAATTTTATATATTTAAATTATGCACATGAAACTTAATACACTACTTAAGAACAGAATGTAAGTTAATCTATCTTTGTATAAATTAATGTATTTATTTAATTAAAAAGAAAAGATTATTAGTAATATTCAACCAAAAGATAAGGCCAGTGATAGGGTTGGATCAGCACATTCCTTTATATATTTATATAAGATTTTTAAATCTTTATTTTAAATTCATTATATTTTAAATTTTATTTATAACTTGATTACGTAAAATAATTATGTAACCCATTTACCCACAATTTGTAACAGAACGTTGTTTGTGTATGAGAAGCCTGTAAATGCGCCTTTACGATGCATTACGTATTTACTAAATTTTAAAAGAATGAACATTTTGCGCCATTTGTTAATAATTAATTTCATCATTGTCGCAATAGGCTGTCGGTGCAATTAATGTATATTATTTTCAATTTAGTTTCATTTTGCCATTTCAATATCTAAAAGCACGCAATAGAAGGCATGTACGAAAGTTCATTAGAATGCAGCTATTGTATATAATAAATACGTTTAAGATGCATTTATATTGTGAAAATGGGAAAGTGCAATGGAGGACTGACGATGATAAAAAATTCTGTATATGCTAGATAGATCGAAACGGGGAAAAGTAAGTCTTGATTATGTATAGAATTGGGATTGTTTTTTGACTGTTTATAATGTCTATATAACGAAAACAAACATTAAGTGCTGTAACTTATCACTGCATATTAAACTAAACGTGCCATAATGACATCATGCCAATAATACAAATATTTTGTTTACATTGCCGTCTCATTATCGGAGTTATGTGTATAACGTATAAAAAAATGTTGGAATGATACGACTATTTTAAGGCGTTAAAATATTAGTTGTGTTTACATCTCACCGAATTCTCTATTGTTTTATAGTTTTATATTACTTTGTAACTTAACGAAAGTATGTATAAATAAAGATTTTATTTGTATTAAAGTACGTAACAAAAGAAGAAGTCTTTCAACGTGTAAAGTGGAAGAATATTACTTCCAGATACCTTATTGCAATTAAATAAGATTATTTTTTAAAAACTTTCAAGGAAGGTCTTAAAAAGTTTAAATTTTGTTAGTATTATTCGATTTGGCTACTTTTTTTACCTTTTGATACTCTTACCTATTTTGTTTAACTTTTGTGGACTCGAAAGCTCAATATACTCAAATGATATGCACGCGCCAACGCATACGCACACGCACACGCACACAAAAGCATATAAACAAACAAATTCAATCGATAGTTTTTTAGATGTTAAAGAACTATTGTTACATGTAAAAGACTTCAAAAATGTTTTCATCTACAATCTATTAATACACTTAAAATTGAAAAATTATATTTACTAATTGTATAATTTTGCAATTGTATTTTTGCGACTTGCGGTGTAAACTACAATATTCATACGGTTATAGAAATGTGATAAATAAGTCACAAATAAAATTAATATAACGAAAAACAGCCTGTATAATCAACAAGATTCAAATAATCAATTGACAATTGTTATTATTCACTAAAGCTAAGTATGTGCCGATTATATAGTCTTCCATTTTTTCTTTCGTTATTCATTATTCAGCATTTATTGTACATGTATAAATGAAGTGAAATTTTGAGGCTTTTTTTTTTCTTTTTATTTAATCTTTGCAGTACCGAACTTTGATTAGAGAACGAAGAAATAAATATGCTTACAGTGTTAGAATTGTAAGGAGGTACACAAGCTTTGAAAATATAATATCTTTGAACGTAATTATTATATACGTAATTAAAAGTAATAGAAAAAATAATGGTTCGAGGCTTAGAACGGAAAATTTTAAAAATAATTTTCGCAAAATTTATTTTAATGCTGAGTGTTGTTAACGAATAAATATTCATTAACTAATTACTTATTATGATAATTATAACATCTGATACACGAACCGAAATCTGTAAAATGACAACATTTTCAAATCAACAATTTTATATTAATTTATTATTAAATTGATGGATAGAATTATTGCATTTTTATGCATTAAAGTGATTAAAACTGTTATCATTCCAATTGTAAATTGTTAGAATTGTTATATAATCCAGCTTACAGTAAATTTAAAACTTTCAATCGGTTATTTTCTATCTAAAGTTACAAATTTTTTCTTTTATTTAGGCTTTCAACATATTTTTTAATTATTATTAGTCAATTATTCTATGACAGTTTCATTAATTTATTTACTGTGTAATTATATGTAATATTGATGGATAATAATTTTTAGCATTATTGAGTAATATATTATTTTTATTTACTTGATGATTTTTTACTATAAGCAGACTGAACCTCTATAATATGTCTAATACAATTAACTCAAGAGGATTATTGAAGTTTTTTCATAATTATAGTGTATCTCCTTCAGATGAAAATGAAAATGAGACATAAGTAAAAATGTATAGAGAAATGAGAAAACAAAAAAAATAAATAAATAAATAAAAACGCCAAAAGAAACATAATTGGATTATACATCAGTATCAATATAACGTATGTCTGAGAGTACATGAGCTTAATCGTAAAAACAAACTGAATTGTTTCCACAAGCGATTTATTGAATAGTTTAAATTTGATTATAAAAAAGGTTTTATTTGCAAGTTTTCTAAAACCCAATTATGTATAAACATGGATAAGAATTGTTATACTTTATTTATTTATTATATATTTATAATTATTTTACATAATTATTTATATTGATTTTGTAGTATTTATCTAGTATTTTTTTAAAGCGTGCATAAAATACATAAAATTAGCACATTCTGAGAATTCAATAAATTGTTTGTAAGGATTAAAACAGCAGTTTTTTTGTCCACAATTAAATTAATCTTACGAGCGGTGAAAAAAATTTGACACTTCAAAAATGTATGAGCTTGCCAGTGCGAGTGGATAACGACTTCAAGTGCGTGCCAATCACAAGATGGCCTATACAACAGGTTCGAGAAGCACAAATCTTTTATCTCGACCGATTGAAGAAAGATGCGTTTTTATAATAACAGAGTTGAAAAAAGTGAGAGAACGTTGGATTTACATTCGCTAAGTATAGTTTTGTAATTTGAACAAGCTACAAATTGCAAAATGTAAGTTGAAGGTGAAAAAACACAAATAAATGTAAAAGAGAACGAATGTCTTGCATTGCTAGCAGAGAAAGTGCAGACAACAAAAATGCGCGCCCGAAACAAACAACTGATCGAACGAATGTCTTGCTTTTGGGCGCGCTTGTATTATATGTAAAGTATGTCCGACAGTTCGGCTGCGTTGTACAGTGTTTTTTAAGTATCTAGTTCATAGCATGTAATTGAGACATTGTATTTACGCTAATAACTGATCTGTATCAAATTCATTCTCGTATAGCCTGTACTCCTACTCATGTAGATGCTAAAAGTGATTTGTGTCATAAAACTATAAATAAAATTAGCAATTTGAGAACTTTCTGTCAGTAGTTACTCGTATCGATTGTAGTCTTAGCCTATGGTTACAAAATCTCCTTCGCTCATTTTCCTCGTACCTCCTTGTCTGTCTATGGTAAATTATCTAGCCCCCACGCGTGTACGTATCATATTTTTTATTAATTCTTTTTTTTAATATAAAAACAATTCGTTGCTCTATTATTAGTCAAATATCATGTGAAAAAATGTAAATCTAAAATTTGCACGGCATTAAGAGTATATGCGGTGGGTTCTTTAAAAGAGCATACTTGCAGCATAACTTTAGTTAGTTTGGTAATGTTTTCACACCTGATTAAGCAAGCCGAGCCTTCAAATGAGCCTTTAAATCCATTTCTTTCTGATGCATCAAAAAAGTAAAATTTACCCCAATGCTTCATGAGAGCAATCGCATAATTGGAGGTATGCATAATACCGAAGAGATTGGTAGTGAAAAATAGTTCAAGTGCGCTTGCAAGGTCATGCTCCAAGGTTATACCGGCCATTGTGTTTTTATACAAGCGTATTCTAGCTCTAACGTCACCTACGACGAATGTATCAAGCAACTCACTGATTGAAAGTGTACGCGAACCGGGACGAGTGAGGCGCGCGCATTCTGTGTGTAAGATATCTCCATATTTGAGTGTGGCATTAATTAAATCACTCGTCCACGTGGAAGGTGCAAGTAAGGTTGCCACAACGATAGCTACAGCAGCGATTGCGGTACTCTGAAGCCCACGATTGTCCACAGAAAAGAGTCTATCGGACATGTGATTGCTACCAAGCAAAACGCTTGATTCTTGATCTATGCGTTTAAATGATGATTCTAAGTCAATATTCAGTAGATGCTGCTGCTGCTGCTGTTTATGAACCGAACTTGGACAGATTTCATCCATTTGAATGCTACGACATAAATACGTTGTATTAATATCTATCCAATAACAAACATTTTGTAATTTTAATATTTATTAGGTGCATGAATGCCTTAACGTTTATACTACGTTGAACATTCTAACTATTCTTAATTATCATTTAATTCGATTTTCAGAACCAGACTTTTCGTATTTCCTTAAATATGATAAGATCCTTATATTTACTTACAGAATATTTAATTTTTTTATGTATTTAATAATCATAAATAAAGAGCGCAAGTAACGATGTTAAAAATTAATTGAATATATTCACGAAGAACAATTAAAGATAAATTAATTATCACTTGAATAATACTTTCTATTAATACAAATAATTTACTTTATTTCAATGTAGAAATAAAGTCTTTCTAATGAAATATTGTGTCTTCATATGTTTGCAATATTATTACAGTATTATTACAATATTCGCATTTAATATTTTGAACAAATTTAAAAGTATAATTTCATGATTATACATCTAATATAAAATAATTATATTAAAACTAGATTTTGTTTTTATTTTTATCATTCTTTCTTTACGTGTATCACAGTCGTTTGTTAAACTTCATTTATTTAATTCAATATTTCGATTATTATGAGTTTAATATATATTTTATATAAAAACTATATTTTTATAAAACTAATGGTTACAGTTTTAAATAGTTTGAATAAAAATAATGTACCTTAAGTTTTCTTGTTCTTTTTTTATTGCTTTATAACTAATTGGAGAAGGTAAAGGTTCAACGCATATTGTTTTAATAATAACTCTAGAAATTTCAAATTCGACATATTTTTCATCGTCATTAATATTTGTAGACAATAAATCAAACAGAGGTTGCATACAAGCAAACCACACAACACACGAAGTTCCTTCATTCTCATCTTCTTTTAAACCTGTAATAAGAAATATATTGTATAAAAATATAAATTTATTAAATATTTTAATTTAGACAATATAATGACTAATGTAAAAATGCAAAATAAAGAAAAACCTTCATGATTTCTAGATCTTGGATCATACATAAAATATACTCCATTATCGATCCAAATTGCTACCATATATCGACCAGCAATCAAAATTCCAGCATTATTTGTTTCAAAAAATTGTTTAAGTCCTTCTTTTAATAATATTGGAGGGGATAATGGTGGAGAAACACGATTTATTTTACTGATCTTTTTATCTTTAACAGATTTTGCTTTGGAAACATTTTTATCTTTTTTACTTTCGTCTTCTAATTTTGGAGGAGGAGTTGTCACTATACCTTAAAAATATGTTATATAGAAATAATAAATGATTAAATTTCGATAAATTAGTAACTATTATTTTAAATACATTGTAATTACTTATAAATCTTAATGGTTTATTAATTAAAAATAAATTTTACTGCATATTATTAAAAAATTATATACATTTCTTAAATTTATAGAAATATACCATTTAAAATACACAGTATGCTGAAGATATGAATTTATTTATATGATCTTTGGTTTAAACATAACATTTTAATAATATATAATTTTATGCTTTTAAAACCTTTACTTTTTAAATTATAAAACATGTTGTCAGCGCACATAATAAATTAATTTAAACGAACCAGTAATAGTAGCCTTTTCAACATCTGCCGCCAAAACATTGACACCGATGTGAAAAATTCTAATAATATCACATGGTTTCAATGTAGTTGTTTTACTAGTACATCTTAAACTTTCACGATGCAAATTAACTCCAATCGCTAAAATTTCATCAAGGGTTTTTCTGGTCCATGTGACAGGATTTTTAATTACAAACATAGCAAGAGAGATAACACAATTAGCCGCTGTTTGATGGCCACGAATATTTTCAGAAAATATTTCTGATGCCTGATGAGTAAAACCTCGTAAAATAGCTCTAGCTCTTCCTAAAAGAAATATTTAACTTGTTTTATATAAAATTTTATTTTGTATTTTACAAAAAATAATGCACATACATTATTTATTATTATACGATATATATGTTATATATTTACAATTATATAAAACAATTATCTATATCATTGTTTATAAAATTAATATATTAAGATATGTGTGTGCATGTGCTATTTGAATTATGTTACAAATTTATTAATTAAAATAAATAAAATTTATTTTTATTATATTATTTAATAAAATTAATTTATCCCGTTAATATTTAAATCTTGCCTTGTAATCTGCAATATGCGTTCAGTGGTGGAAGATTTGATGGTCTGACTGCTGAACTAGGATCAAATGTCCATGGTGGTAACTTATTCCAGTCTAAAATATCTATACTATTAATAATAAAATCGGCATCTTCATCTATATCCATTCTTATTTTTTTGGCTAGTGTAACTTTATTTTCAAAGCGCATTAAAAAATGCCCAGGTTTGAAGTAATAAAAGTAATTTTCGTATGTCCAAATTGCAACATTTAAACATTCAAACATTATACAACCAGAAGAAGATCTTTCAAAAAAGTTTGAAATCCCTGTTATAATGTCTTTGATCCTTGGATTTTTGCCACTTACTGTTCCTGATTGTACACAATCTTGAATGTTCAAATCTATTCTACGATTAGCAATGAAAAATTCACTGATTATTTCATTACATTGAAAACTTTTATTCTCTCCAATGCAAGCTACACTCCGTGAATGTAATGTATCTCCTGTGATCGTAATTTCATCCAAAATTTCTGTAGACCAATAGCGTGGTTCATATGCCTAAAGAAATATAAGATAGCAAAAATCGTTATGTATTCTTATATATCTTATTAATAAATTTATCACATTATCAAATATTCAAATGGTTCGAAAACGAATTAAAATTTGTTTTCATTAAAATTTGTAATCACAATAAAAATAAATTTTTATTTGAAATTGTTTAAAAAATAATATTAAAAATTGATTTTAAATATTAAACTAAAATTTTATTTCTATAAGAAAAAGTATCAATACATTTAAATTTATAATCAATTATACATTTTTTTTGTTCGTTTATTCTCATGTTATTTATTATTTATGTTATGGAAATAAAGACTAATGAATATTTCATAAGTACATTGTGTTTTAAGTATGTTCTTATATAATATGGTAATAATTAAAATTGACATGATACATATTATTGAGCATGAAAACTGTTATATATTATTATAATATGAAGAAAATTAAGATTATTAAAGTTGTACATATTAATAACTAATATGTATTAGTTATGTACAGAAATGATTTTTTTTTTAATTACAGTAACAGTCACATTATTTACAAAGATTGGATCTGTTGTTTAGAAATCTCATTTAAAATAATAGATAATAATAGATACTTATACGAGATTCATGTATTACTTTTATCTTTTGACATACTGATTTAAGAAATAGATCATATTCTACAAAACTGCAATATATTTTTTAAATTCTTGTTTAGAAACAATAAAATATAAATATTTTAAACAACGTTAATATAAATATATTTTAGCATTGAAAAGATTTAAAAAATATGGAATCTAAATAAATGCAGAAAAAGACAGAAATACATTAGTAAAATTGCTATTAAAATGTACATTTTCATAAGATATAATATAAGAAGTATTATTAATAAATATTGTAACTGGATATTTATCGAAACAAATACACGAACAGTTAAATTACTAGAATAATAAGATTCTGAAATACCGATAAGAAAAAGTAATGTAGAAACTAGGATAATTATTCAATCGAGCAAGATAAATATCCTTAGTTTTTAGATATATGAACAAAATCTACAAGTTATACTATATTAATATAAAATAGATTTTGTCTTTATAAGCGATGCATTTTATAAGTGTAATAAAATTCAATATTGAATTTAAACATACATAAATCCATTTTGCAGATAAAAAGAAGAATATTGATTAATCAACTAAATATATTAACATTAATCCTCTATTTCCAAATTTGAAATGATTTATATATACAATTACGATAGTATGTTATTTATTAATATGTACATATCTATTTTCAAAAAAAAGTAATTGTTGGTTATTCATATATTTCTACATATCTAAGTAAAATATGAAATAAAATATTGTATTAAAATAACTATTGGTGCTTTTACGAATTGTCATGTATATAAAATAGAAATATAGTTTTAATTTAAACATTTTTAGCCTTATACAATTATTTATAAAATTACCTTTGAAAACACTATTGCCATTATACAGATCGCAGCAGATTGATTTCCTTGATTTTCTTTTGAAAATATTTCATCTGTTAGAGTAACGTGGCAATCAATTTTCCAACTTTCTTCTTCAATTTTAGAAAAATTGTACCATTTATCTTCCGTAATATAATCTTCTGGAATATGTTCACTGATAGAATAATGATTTTCTATAGTCACACTGTCAAGTATGAAATCACCATCAGATTTTTCGCAACATTGAAGTAAAATTTCAGCTAACGAAGAAATATCAATGTACCAATACACCGTAGCATTTCCAGTTTTTTGACCTCTTGGATCCATTGCAAAATAAATACTTTCTTCTTTCCATGTTGATAAAATAATCTACCGATATAAAAAATATTATAATACTTTTTATTTATAAATAAAATGTTATATTTACATTATAAATATAATGGAACCTAATGTAATCGAAATATGTCATATTTAAATATTTCGATAGAATTTTAACACAAAAAAAATTTTTATGAATTTTGGAACAAAAAAATTATGTAATGTTTGTATGCAAAAAATCGTAAATACTATATATTACAATATATTTTGAAAATAAGTAAGGTGTTTCATTTATTTGAATAATTTAAGTAATTATTAAGAATGAAAATCATATCATTAAATACCTGATCTTTCCTGAAAATTCCCATTTTATTATTTACAAAAAAATCTTCTAAATTTTTCGTTAAGTCATTAAGTTGTCCTATAACAGAATTTTCTTCAACATTTACGGTGATTTCATTTATTCCCAGAAAGAAACTGGGATTTATTTCACTTGGTAACAGATACTGTCTAGAATTGTCCATATCCTCTTCGCTATTATCTTGGAGATTTTTTGAACTTTCATTGCTCAATTTATCACTCATTTTTAATATATCATCTATAACTCCAGTAGACCAGAGATGTGGATCATATAATTTTGTCATTGCTAATGTTACTAATGCATTTGCAGCTTGCTGTTTATCTCTTGTTTCCATTTTGAAAAGAATATCATTTGCTTGATTAAAGCTACCACATAGGAAAGCACCATTTTCACCAACAGCAGTGTAAGCTCGTAATTCTGGTTTTATTAAAGTTACTTTATCTATTTCAATTTCTTCATCTGTTAATTGCTCACTCATAGAAGCTACTTTTATTTCATGAATAAAAAAAAAAGATTGAACTATTTCATCTTCAATTTCTAATTGTTCTTTCAAAATAAATATAATTTCAGAAACATTAGGAAATTTCAATACACAAGCAAATTCTTCTGTGTTATTAGTTTCAGTATGAGTTTCATTTAAAAAATTTTCCCATGGTTTATCACAAAATAAATAATATCCTTCTTCTTTACTTTTATCTGCAAATTCTTCATCAAATTTCCATATTGCAAAATACTTGTTATTAAATTCTAATATCCCAAATTGATAATTTTCAAAAAAATTACTTATTCCACGTTCCATATTTTTTAGATTATCATCAAAATTTATTTTTAAATCACCAATTACACAAGCTTCTTTTATTTCAATAAAGACTTTGCATTTTTTATAATACAAATATTTTTTTAAATTACTTATAGACAAGATTTTTCTTTCAGTATCGATCTGCAAAAATCGTTATTAATAGATAAAAGCCGAGTTTTAATGTTTTAAGCTGTACAAAAAACATTACGTTATCATATATTTATTCAATAATATCAAATTATTTTCACTATCAATATGTGAGTTAAACGGTAATTGTTTACTTCATCGTGTTATTATATTAGAGCCTTGCAAAGACTAAGGTCTATATTGATATCAGAAGAAAGAATAAAATATGAAGAGGTTATTGACTCGGCGAAAAAAGTGAAACTGTTTTAACACCTAAAAAGATGAACCAGCATATTTTAATAAATCCTTTTTATTGGTTAATAATAATTCATTATATATATGACTGTATGAGTTTTCTACTTTTCCTGTATTTCTATATACTTGACGCTTATAAAGCCGCAGTTGATCAGTTATGCAAGGACTGTCAATATATTAACGCGAGTAGTAAGTATTTCAATAATAAAATATCAGTGCACTATGTAAATTATATAATTATTTTTACGGCATTATTCTATTGCTTATAATTTTTCATCTAATATGTAATAATTACTTTGTACAATTATTTAATTATACAAATTGTTATTATTCATTATATTGAAATTCAATTATAATACAAAAAAAATTAGTTAAAAAAATATATATTATACATAAGAAATTTCTTTAATAACGTATATTTAGAAAATATCATTTGAAATTTGTTGTAAAAAATAGTTCTATGAATATTTTTATAAGAATATTTCCAATTAACGCATGCAGAATTTAATAATTAATATTTATAAATGATAACTATGAATATAATTAATTTATATAGATTGTAATTATGTATAAATGTATTTAATAAGTTTTTTTAATACCTCACCAGCTGGAGGATTACACCAATTATAATAATCATTTCCTTCTCGTACCGTGTTGTCAACGTCCTGTCTAGACCATTTCGAAGGTAAAATTATTTGGGCGGTAATTAAAGTGACTACAGATATTGCAAGATCTTGAATTCCGCGGCTATGTTCATCAAAAGTGTCATCGTCACTATTTATATTTCCACGAAGTATCCAACTTTTTCCCATTATGGCTGGCTTGAAATAATACCAATCACGAATTCCTGGTATATCGTTTACAACAATAACTCGACGAATAGTGAAACGACATTTGAACTGTGCGGAATCAAGATTCTTTAATAAATGCTCGTATAAAGAGTTCAAACTTGTAAAACGTACAACACAACATTTGCCAATAATATTTTTTTTCATAATTTCAGTATTTTCATTATCTTTTTTACCTGTAGTAACAAATAATAATATAATATAAATAAACATTCATCATACAGTTATTTGTTTTAATTAGAATTTTGAATATTTATTTTTAAAATTATTAAAATAAAATTTAAAAATTATAACAATATCATTAAGATTTGTTATATGTAGCAAACAAAATTTACTTGTAATTGTAGGGTACTAGATGAAATAGCTAAATATTAAATTCGATATAATGCTTTTAGTTACATTTTGGTAATGGCTTATATACCTTTTTCGTTAATAATTACGTGTATGCCTGATATATCACATGGTTGAGAATCAAATATATAGTAGTAATTTTCTTGCATCCAAATAGTAACAGCCATTGATGAACACTCTAATACACCATCCGTGTGTTGAATAAAAAATTCTTCTAAACCTTGCTTTAAGTTTAAAACTGTAGAAACTTTTGAAATGACAGTGCCCACGATTGTTAATAAGTCCACATCAATGATCATTTTGTTATTTTCAAACTTTTAGAAGAAAAATGTGTAAGATAATTTAATTTTTCAGTCAAATTTAAAAATATTTAAAAATATAAATTTTATTTTATTATTTCCTCTTATATATTCTTTATATGATTTCCGTCGTATTTCATTTTATATTTTTCATCACATTTAACACAATAATACTTAATAATATTAATATATTTCGTTTTTATAAATTGTTAAAAAATATTACTAATTTTTTGAAAATAAAATATTTCAATTTTTCAATTTATACCATATAAATAAAAATAGCCAATAAAAATTATTTAGAATAATATTCTTTTATTAATTTTTTATTGTGTAACTGTAATAAAAAAATGTTTTAAAATATATGTTTTCATTTAAGAATTTGACTTAAGTAATTTATATATTCAAAAATTTTTGTTTCATTTATATTAAATTATTCAATTATATTAAATATTTTTAAAAATATATTTGAAACTGTTAGTTTTAGAGAAAAATATAATAATTTACTATAAAATTTAGTTCGAAGAAATATTATAAGGATTTATATTTTTGTTGATATGAATACTCATTGTTTAAACGTAAATTATTATTAATGCTTTTATCTTATGAAAAAATAATGTAAAATTTTATATTTCTTTGATATATCAATATGATATATTAATCTAACATAATGGTATATATTTTTAACGACATTAAATATTCGAAATAAATATTACCATAATGTAAAACTATTATTATTTAATTAGTTTAATAAATCAAGATATAATCTACTAGAAATTTGTAAATTACGAAATATATTTACAGATATTATAGTGATTTATTGCAAATTTTTATCGATACTTTTATTTGTTAATTAACCTTAAAGCGAGTATCATCCAGATCTATGGCAGTCATAGTTTGTATGCTAGGTTTCGCATTTTTAACTTGTATGAAGATGGCGTCACCCATTGCCAAAATATCATCGAGTGTTTTTCTTAACCAAGTTTTTACAGGATGAAGCTTTTTCATTACAATAGCCATTACACAGTTAGCAACTGATTGTGAGCCTTTCCCTTTATAAATGGCGTTGGTATCATTTGTCCAGCCATGAAGTATTTTTTTCTCTGGATCAGCTGCTACTGTTACAAAAGTGGAGGGAACATTTGCCTTCACCTCATCATATGTATATTTGTGATTTAAAAGATTTTGGTCTACCATCGGAATTTGGCCGAATTTAGCCTCTATAGCATTATTTGTCATTTCAATTGTTAATGGAATTTTCCGAATTAATTCTTGAACATTTTTTGTATCCTTCAGTGAAGAATCCATTATTGTATCTATTTTGCTACAGTTTGATCTCGTAATTTCATTGATTGGCTTGAGAGAAACTTTGTTCTTTGCCATAATATTAGAGACTCTCTGACATTCGTATTTTCCTCTGTCTATAGCTTCTATTTTTGTTACGCTGATTTTATCAATAGAATATTTTGAATCAATCTTTTGCTTGAGATTGTCCACAAACATTTTAACAATGCTTTCTATATCGTGTACTCGAATAATACATGCAAATCCAGAAACGTTCCTCTTTCCACATTCGTTGACCGGTGCAGGATCTATATAGAAATATCCGCAATATTGACGATTCCAAATAGCAACGGACATTTCTGTTTTAAATAAAATATATTTATTATAAAATACAATATTGTATACATAATATTGTATTACTTAATGAATTAAGAAATATTTCGACAATAATAGTTTAAATACGTTTACAAATATTCAATTTATAAATAAAATGTGTTATCGGTTAATTAATGTATAAAAATTAAAAAGTGTTGCTCAATATAACAAAAACCTTTTTATAATATTAATAGATATTTAACAAATATAGCGTTTAACTTATATAGTACAGCATTAGAGACGTTCCTCAACAAACATTTTTTTTAAGTATGGCTATTATACCTTAGCTAATTAAGAACTCAATGTGCCTCCAGGTATGATGCTTTATTTTACATTTAAAATAAATTCAAAAGCAGTTATTTAATTTTTAATACCTAAAATTATTTAATTATATATAAGAAATATTGTATCAAGCGCAAACAAGTTTAACAAGTATAAAGTTATAATTAAAAAATAAATCGAAGACATCCCATGGAGTCGAATTCTAAAGAATGATGATTTATTGATAAATACCTGAAAGTTTTAAAAATAAATATAATATGAGAGTAAATTATTAATTTATAAAATGTTATTATGGTACATTCCTTTATTAATCAAAGTATTTACAATTGAATTTCTTATTTGAATTTGAAGGTATACATGTGAAGAATATGGCAATAATTAAATTGTAATAACATTTTTATTATAAATTTATTTAAATTTATAAAAACTCATTTTTTAAACTCACAAGATATTTAAAATATGTAAAGAAATAAAAGTGTTTATACAATAGCACATGATAATATAATAATTGGAATAATTCTTTAGCCTTCATATTAAAAATATCAATGTTATAATACAAATATTATGATAATAAATATAACAAAAACTGTATAAATCATTTAAAAGTACTTCATTTAGTAAAAATACTTCATCTAATTTTCGATGTTATGATATATTTTGTAATTTATTTAAAACTTTTATAGAAATTAAGAAAAAGCTATATAATTTACTATACATATATATATTTTTAATGATTCAATATTTTGTTTATTATAAACGAGCTTATATAAATTTTTATTTAAATATTCTCAATTGTCATGAAACACTTGATACATTGCAAGTAAATTTTTTAGCATTAGTAAGCCTTTAAACATCTTCCAGAAAATATAAAATTTTGCCACTTATTTACTGTTGTTATTTTCAAATATATTAAACAATATTTGAGATTTAAAAAAATTAACATAAATTATTAATCATTCAAATTATTGTTGCATTATAAGTTAAAAACTTTTGAATATAGTTTTATTTATGAATTAAAATAACCATAGTTTTGAAACTAATTATTATAATTATCGACAATATTTATTTATTTTATTGCTTGTCAAATTCATTGTCGCGAAAATTTCTAAAAAAAATATTAATTGATACGTTAATTTATAATATTTACTCTAAATTTATTTATTTTAAAATATTGTCTCATTACCGAAATATAAAGAAAATGGAAATGATTTGATTTATTAAATTTAGTATCATAAATAACTATATTATTATGAATTTATTGTCAAAAACAAATAAAACTTAAGATAAAAATAACTTAAAATAAAAATTATGATAATTTTGAATAATAATCAAGTGTATTACCTTGAGATGTGAGAATTCCAAAATTTGGAGTCCTCAAGAATGTATTAAGACCATTTTTGAGGTCTGGAAAGCCTATACTTTCACTAATAACATTTCCACAAATTATGCCAATTTCAGTACATATATTACATTTATAATCTCCCACGAAAAATTGTTTCTCCAATAAACTTGTAGTCATAAAAATATCATCCTTTAAACGGTTACGTGCTTGGCTGATACGAAATAGTCTATCACCATCCTCTAGGACTCTGTCGAGAAAGTTTGAAGTCCAGTCCCGAGGCTCTAATAGATGTGCATATACAATGCCGACTACTGCAGCGGCACTGGCTTGTTTACCACGACTCAACAGTTTGAAACGCTTATCAATGATTGAACAGTTGCCTCGAAGGATCGACTGTGTTGGTGATATTATTTGAAAACGATGCCATTTCTCTGGATTTTTCTTTACCCTTTTCGTTGTTTTCTCTTCCATTACTATATATCATATATTCCGAATATTGTATTAGGATCAATTTTTTCACATTATATTAATTTTTCTATTATTAAATTATACTTTCGAAAATTTTAATTTACTGATAATTAAATAAATAATTTTAATTTTTTAATCTAATAATTATTATTTTATAGTATTTTATGATTAAAATTTAAACATTAAATAATTTAGATAAGAAGCACAAGATTCAAATATTAATTGCGGTTAAAACATTTTATATCTGAAGTTGACTGTATATTGATTAGATAATTGGAAAATTATATACGAAGAGTAATAATTTTTATGTTAATGAGTTTTATTTCTATAATCTTATAATACTAGTGATTTTATGACCTTATATTATAGAAAGTTATATATGGTTTATATTTTCTTTTAATATTTTAATTTATTATTTAATATTATCAAATTTATCTAAAAATATGTAATATATATATATATATATATATATATATATATATATATATATATATACACAAACACATGAAATGATAGATTTCTTTTATTTAAAGACAAATACGTATAAAACGAAACATTAATAAATACTGTTATTATATATATTAAATTGTTATAAATTATATTAAAATGAATATAAAATAAGAAAAAAATGTCACATGGTTAAAGAAAGAAATAAAATGTCTAATTAATAAGGCAACAAATTAAGTATAGTAAGTTATTTCATAATTATAGTATATAAGTGATCAAAGTATTATTTTTTCAAAGTAATCATAAGTTTCAAATTGTATCACTTAATAAGTTAAGTTATTTTACACGCATTATATAAAGTAATACATAGAAATTTTGAAGATACGTAAAAAATTATTGAGAATTGATATTTAGCTGCAACATAATAGGAGAAAAAGTAAATGTCCAAATATTTAATAATTTTTTAAAAATTATTAATTCCAAATTTTTTATATTGTTATTTGAATAATTTGTATAACAAAATTATATTGTAAAAAATCAAAAGCTTAATTATGTATAGAAATTTATATAAATTGAACATAAATGAAAATAATTTTTAAATATACACAGATAAAATACAAACTGCATCTCAATAAAACTTAAAATTTATAGGATAGGTTCCGAACATAATAAATGAATAAAAGCATAATTTTCATGTAAAAGTATAACTTGTTTATTTTATCGAATATTTCTATATTTATGAAATTCATAAAAGTATATATCGTTCGAAAAAGGTTATTTTTATTTTATTACTAAAACACGACTAATTCTTTAAATTTCATTCAATGAAAAATAATAACTAATAATTATTTCTATTTGATTTTTGTCATTTACTGAATATAAATTACATTCTTTTTATCATGTTGCCTTTTCTATTTTTATTTAATGGTACTTCCTTCAAACTTATATAAATTATTTCGGTATATTTTATTACATTATCTTCAAAATTATTACCAAAATAAAAAATAAATATCTTACAAAATTTATTTTATGTTGTTCTAATACAAATGATTTCTATTATTAAGCACAAAAAATTTAAAAATTAATTTTTACACACTAATAATTTTTTACTTTTATAAGTGTTTTTTATATTTAAATCTACTTTTGTATATTATATTAATAAATATAAGATATGTATAATGAATATCGATATTGAATTAATTATAAAAATATTGATAATTATTGTATTGAATTTCTAGATGTCTTCATGCGATTATTGAATAATTAATAATAAATTATTATATTATATAATTATGAAACAATTATGAAAAAATTATATATTTTTAAATATTTTATTGCCTATAAAATAAAATAAAAAGCTTTTTAATAAAATTACTTATTAAACAATTGATCGATAAAAATATATTTTTTATATGCTGATTATTGAAATGTTTAACTTAAACATATTATATTTTTATTTACATTTTTTTATTCAAATAAACAAACATTTTTATAATGTAACATTTTTAAATAAAAAAATTGACAGTATTTTCAGTTTTTAAAAATCTTTTAATGCAGGTTATAGATTGAATATATTCTAAAGTTAGAAATATTTAAATTATAAATATCCCTTTTGCACATGCAAACAAAATAAAAATATATTTTATATAAGTAAAATAGTATTACATCATTTGTTTTATTAAGATTATTTATATTTATTGAAACTTATAAAAATAAAGGGACGTCAAAAAGTGAAATAAAAATCAGGGCAAAAATAATTTTTGTAACTGGAATTTTATTTACTTGTATTTTAATTGCTCAAATGTGGTTGTAAATTTGAACTTACGACTGGCAGATGTAACGTATGTATAATTTACGTTTCATTTTGAAAGTCTTATTTTTATATTTATCTTATATATTTATATAAATATATATATATATATATATATATATATATATATATATATATATATATATATATAGTTGTCGATCAACAATAGATAACAAATATTTTCTTACAATAGTAAATAATTAATTATAATACAAGATTATATTTAAAAAATATTAACATACTTGTTTTTAAATACATAAACAGTGAATTCGATTTTGTCAAAATTTTGTTTACAAATATATAACAATAAGTAAAATGAAAAATTTAAACTGTATTTAACACCAATGTTTAGCATATACACATTATATTTATATAATATATAGACAATTGAAGCTGATTTTATTAAACATGTATAAGTCTTTGAAATGTAATAAAATTTTATTCATTTTTATATATCTATGTGGCTTTAAGCTGTAAGCTCGTTTTGTTGACATTATTTACAAATTTTATTAATTTTGATAACGATTATAACAATTTACAAAAAATATAAATTTATATACTTGTAGATGCTATTTAATGCACTATAGTAATTTTGTTAATAATATTAGTATTTAATTTTTTGATTTATCATACTGAATGTGCAAACATTTATGAAATGATTTGTAATTAAATTTTTTATTTTACTATTGTATTAATTTTTAATATTCATTTTTTGTTAATAGCATAAAATTATATGATATTCTATAATTATATAATATCATAAATTTTTCATAATGCTGTTTATATATATAAATATATAAATATAAATATATATAAATAGAGAAAAGATGTGATTTAGTAAAAAATACATAAAAAATAATTTTTTAATTTTTCTAATCCAAACAGTTATATTTTTTTTTAATGTATTTGCTTTTAAGTTGCTCTATACAAATTGTTAACACTAATTAAACAATTTAAAATTTATTAAGGAGTTCAAATAATTTTTTTAATTATCTATAATTATATTAATTAATAATAATTAAAAAATTATATATTAAATATACTAAAGAAATACTTTTTTGCATAGAAATTTAAAAATAATTATTGCGTCAATGGCCTTTTCCGAATAATAAAATTCTTTAAGAGTTTAAGAAAGTGTTGATAAAACAACGTTCATAAATTCCTTTTGTAAATATAAATAATGCACACAAATGCCTATTACAGGATTTACGGGATATCATTAAATTATATTAGAGGTTAACATTCCTTGCTATCACCGTTCATTTTTCCAGTCTTTATATAACGTTTACTTAAGGTCTAATTATATTTTATCAAATTTTTTTTTAATATTGCAAGTATTCTAAAGAGCATGATTTAAAATCATTTGCATTTGTATTAATTTATGAAAATTAATACTCCTATTTAACAACGTATTTGTACAGCATTGATACATGTTATATTTAGTATTAAACATATATAAACATCAACAGAAAAAAATATTAGTTATTAATTGTACGAGATTTTAGGTTGATACTGTACACAAAATATTTTTTATATACTGTATCTAGTATTTATGTATATTATTTTGTAATCCTTATATTATATAATTCTTAATTGTTATCAACGAAGGCAAGAAAAACTTCATTTATATATAAATATTCAAATTTGAAACATGAATAAAATTTTTTTAATTATTTGGAAAACTTCGTAATTAACTAATTAATTTTAATGTTTAAAATTTTATTCTATAAACATCATTTTGACTCAACAGATGGCTGATATTACTATTTTTATCTAAGAAATCTTTATATCTTCATTTACTAATAAATTTTTTTACATGTTGAACATATTCGTAATATAAAAAAAAACTTATTTATGATACTTTATTTATAAGCAAAATATTACTTATGGGAAATAATTGCCTATAACATTGATTTTGCATACTAATAAACATATTATCCTAATATATTAAATTACAAATTTATTTTTTAACCTTGGAAAAGATATATGAATTTTCATTTATTCATTTCTTGCTTTTAATATTTGTGGTAAATTATTTTTTACAAAAATGATTTTTTAGGTAAGCTTGACTATGAGGATTACGAATGTATTTATATATTTTCAGTCGTAAAATTGATTTTGTCTAATTCTCAATATTTATTATTATTTATTATAAATACGCGTATATAAAAATGTGAACAAATTAAACTTTAAAACAAAATAAAAATCCTACTCTAACACAAAATAGAATTTATTGAATTCATAATTTGTTCTTTTTAATAATTTTTTTTAAAAATAATTGTATTATTGTTAACAGAATCTACAACCAAATGTGATTGGTCCCATGAAATTGTAGATTCTTAACACTTGTATAACCAAACATGGCTCATTAAATTCAGTTCTGTAATATAACTATATAATTCATGTACAATGGATAATTAAAGATAAACTTTTAAATCAAACTTTTATCAGTAATATTATATATTCAGAACTGCAAGTTATATTCAAGTACTAAAAATGAATAGATAAATAACATAAGTTCTTTAAATTTTAATTTGTTTTAATTACAAAATATCACAACGTAAGATTCATTTATGATACTAAAGTGATATTTTAAAAGAAATTTTGTATTTCGTTTGATATAATCAATTCCTCTGTAATCAATTGATAGATTCTACATAAATAGACAAGACAAAGTTTAGTATAACAATTAATTAAGCCTGTCAGATTACAGACTCTTTATTTGTGTTTAAATACCAATCTATGTTTTATATTTTGGAGAGTTTGTCTACAACCTAGTTTAATAATCTAATGAAAAAAACAAATTTGCGAAGCTATCTCACTTGAAAAATATCATATCATAAACCTAAGAAAATATGTACATTGAATATCACTGTGGAAACGTAGGCTCCTTTACGAAGCAGTGATAGATATTAACTGTCTCTATTGGGATGTTTGGCAAGTAATCTTCGAGGTAAGGGTAGAGGTGACTCAAACTGTTGTGGAACAATACCACTTACATTTATCTCAAAATATTTAAATATAGGAAACCACCAGAGTCGAGCTAAAAAATTATTTGGACCATATTGCTGGAAATGAAAAATATTTAATTTCTATAAAATTTATATAATAAAAAACATTTACTTTGAAAAATGGATTATAAAAATAAATCAAAACTTACTTTGAGTTGTACATTATTTGCCATTGTGTGATAAATGTACCATAATCTGGTAGTAACATAATATGCTATTAAGATATCTACAGTGTAGTGGCCATGGGAAATTAATACCATTATAATTCCAACAAATGATGATATTCCAGCAAGCCAATGAACTGGATGGCACTTCTTTGGAGAATCTAAAGTGCAATTACATTAGTTGAAAGAGTAATTTTTTACAAAAACGACAAAAATTTAAAACAATACTTACATTCTTTAATGATCAAGTAACTAAGCACGAGTACAACAGTATGTCCACTATAAATATAGTCTCCACAGTAGGTGTGCTTGCCATTAATTGACAGTCCAAATCCAGAGATAAGTTGAAGAACTCGTTTTGTTACAAGATAAGGACTTGTGTTATTTGCTTTGGGACTACAATAATAAGTTTTACTAGCCACTGGAAGAACAGTGACATACATGGTAATGCTCCTCATCATGTACAATAATCCCATTAACAGAAATATTCGTCGTACCACTATAAATCTGTAATTTAATTAATTAAATACTTAGTATAATTAATATTATTATATATTTATGATATATTAGTACCTATGTTTATGGAAAATTATAAAGATCATAGCAGAATTTGACATTATCATAATCAAAATTTCAGACACATTAAGAGCCCAATCTTGAGCACTAATATTATCTAGAACAACATCAGGGAGAGGATCATAAGTTGCACGATCTGGTACACGTTCATGTACCATAGCAAGTGAAGCAGTAGTCAATATAAAATTTATGACCATAAATAAAAATGCTGAAAACATAATCAATTCATTATTTAATTAAATTTTTTCATTGCTAATTTTAGTAAAATTTATACAAACCAAGAAATGTTTTCCATTTTTCTTTTGGAAATCTAGGCTCTTCTCTTAATGGAGCTGGAATATCAATTTTAACAATGCCATTTCCAGATTCATTTGGAATTCCAGTATGTCTAACATGACTTAAGCTATCTATTTTATCATCTTCATCTTCATAAAAATCTGAACTGGATCCAACCCCACTCCATTTATCTTTGTTTTTAATTGGAGCACTTGGAAGCAAAGGTTGTCTCTGGTATACATCACTAGATTGTGCCATTCCGCTACTACTGCCATCAACAACAGCTTCTATATCTCTATCGTGACCTTCCTCTAATGGCTTATCAAAACTTCCGTAATCACTATGAAGATTTGTGGTTTTGGGATCCAATACCATTCTAATATAAATTATGTTTTTATTATTATATTTAATTGAACATTTTTTTATCAAATTCAACAGAAATGAAGGTCAAAAAATAATTTTGATATATATGTAATCTTAAAAATTCTCTTTTTAACTTATAAAATATCAATAAACTTATAGTCATAATTTAAATTATATAAATTCACAGATAATTTAAATAGTTTGAACAGCTCAGATTATTTTCTTCATATTTAATTATATTTTTTAACATTATTAATATATTAAAAAAGTACTATTGTTAATTAATTAAATAAATTTAAAAAACTATAAAAATTAATTACAACTCTACTTTAATTTAATAATTGTAGTAAAAGTTTAATCATAAATAATTTAAGTTAAATTAATATATAATTGTCAATACTATTTACCAATATTCATAAAAAAATTCATATTAATACTATCATCATTAACAATCAAACCTTTTATAAATCCAAAAGTAATTAGATAGCAAGAAAATTAAACATGATAAGTATAAGAAATAGATAATTTACCTGTAAAGTTATTAAAGCATGATTTCTATACCATTATTTACTCAATTACTCACACAATTAATTGACAATTAATCACATGCAGTAAAAGAATTGAAGTATTAACAATCTATATAATGATTGATTAAAACAAATATATTGATTGTTGACATAAATGTTGTCTTACACTAATATTCTTTATTTGTTTCATTTAATAAATTCATTGTATAAAAACTCTTATAATTCACGTTACATTGAGCTACAATAATAATCAAATTTCATTCTATATCATGTATTTTTATAATTATGAAATTAAAATATTTATACATTGTTTTACATTCTACGTTATCATATTACGTTATCTCATGAAAAATTTGTATTATAACTAAGAATATTAAATAATATAACAAATGTACAAAGAACTAGAAGTCGATATAAAGTAATCATAGTTTACTTCAAATAAGGAACTTGATAGTTTAATAGTTTTAGAATTAATATTTGTTTTAAATTATACAAGGTATAAAAAATAAACAAAATTATACATAAATAATCAACATCAAGAGCATTATAAAAATGCAACGATAAATATATAGATGTTCTCAACCAAAGGTGTGTAGGTCTACTAAGAGGAGGTAATTAGGCTTTCCCATACCTTGTCAATGCAGCAGGCAATTCAACCTTGACGGGTAGCCTTAATTTATGCATTTTTATTTATATGCACATATTCAGTTTAATTCTATATACTTATTTTTTCGTTTTCCTTATAATTTTGCTTTTAATCTATATATCTTTACTGTTAATATTCATATATGACGTGCAAATCTTCATAATTAAAAGTGTAACGTATTGTTGTTTCTCTCAGTTACTATTATTTTTCCGTCTTTTTCTTTTGTAACGTAATTAATATATGACACGACAAATAATTTTCTACATGTGGGCGTATTAAATACGTAAGAAGCGCTAAATTTAAATAGAAAGAACAAAGAATATTTTTAATGAAATTTTATATAAAAATTGGATTTACATTTTTTTTAAATTAATCTTTTTTATAAAAGTTTGATTTAAAATATATTATGAAATTTTTATTTGGAAAAATTTAATATGGAAAGCGAATTACTTTAGACAAATATTTTATATAACAAATAAATTTGGTATATAAAATTAAATATGATAAAATAAAAACATAAGTAATAAATCGAGTTATTTTAATTGCCTAATTATTTTTCACAATTTTAATGGTTTATCAATTACAAAAAAAAATTATAAAGCTACATTTTGAGAAAATGGTGATGATTAATTATTTTATTTTAGTATAATGTTTCAAATAATATATATAATATTGGTGTAGTTACGATATACCATGTTCTAAATATGTAAGATTAATAAAATATAATCATATTGATATTATTATTTATAAAAATTAGTATATCAATAGAAACATTTACAGTAATTTATTATTTATGTATAAGATCAATTTTAAATGAATTTCATATATTCTTACTTTTTTATCTTTAAATTGTATATATATGAATATATATTATAATAGAATAGATTAAAATTAAAATTATTATAAAATGTTATTAAATAATTTAAAATAGCTCAATTATAACAAAATTGAAACTGTAAAAATGAAAATATCCATGATATAATATATAGTGAAAATGTAATTATCTTTTGAAAGTGACAAATTCATAATAATTTTTTTTTATATACAATCATTGATTCTTCTACTAATTATTGATCAACTACCATGAAAAATTCTATTTCTTCTTTAATGTATACAAATGTAATTAAAGAATGTATATAGTAGATGATATTATGAATACAAACTATAAAATATTTTCTATCACAATAACAGAATTTTATATTAATTTACTTTAAAAATGATACTAATAGATTACTTATACTAATTTATTAATAATTTATATCAACATTTTTTGTGTAGCTATAGTCTAGCAGATATATAGAGCTCAAAATAAACGTTTTCAATTTTTTTTACCAGTTGTTTTTAGTTACTTTAATAAATATTTATATATTGTTTTAGAAACATTACAAAATAACCACTAAATTGCTTATGTGTAATGAAATTGATATTTAAAAAATATCTTTAGTATTTAGCCATATTGGCTGATGACGTCAATCCTATCGTAAATATAAAAGGTTTGACCTACCCATTGTTTTATATTATGTAGTAATTTATATTTATACATAACGTATACTACCTACTCACCGTTTTAAAAACTGCTTTAGTAATGCCTAAACTATGCAAATTTTACAAATAATTATAATTAGGCACCAGAATATAATATTTTGTACGCTTCAGTAATAACAAACAATGTAGCGAAAACATATACATTAAATAACTACAGATAACTTACAGAAGGAATGATAATGAGGATAGACACAAGCATACGATATAAAATGTATAAAAATAAAAAAAATCACGAACAAAAACTAACCAAACTTTTGTTTTCATCTGATATCAAGTGAGCGTAGGTATATACAAAAACGTCTATAAAACACATTACGTGATCACAGGTTTTACAGACTTTATATTTGCTTTCAAGTATAGAAACTTTTTTAATTTGATGTAAAGTCATTTCACAAACGAAAACTTTTATATATTTTTTAAAATTATTTTTATGTTTTTATATTTTGTAGAAGAATTTGAGAGAATAAAAAAGCTGTTTGTGTCTACTTTTAATGTTTTTTATTTTCTATAAGCAAACATGTCTTTTCTACATAACTTGTAGTGTACGAAACAGTCAAAGTAGATGGAGCACTTGATTATCGCATGCGCATTGAATTTCTAAAGTTATTGGTTCTTGAACATTCACACAATTTAATATTGAGTTTTGCGTATATTTTATCAGCATTTAGTAGATTAAGCGTTAACATTTGCAATAATCATATTTAAAAAATAGGATATATAAAATATAACTTTTTAGATATTCTCTAATTTACATAAGCAAGCTGTTTTAATTTAACACAATTCGTTATTTTACATATGCGCATATATCCTACATATTCTATATAGTATAAAACTTTAGTATATTTCTTAATTTAAATTTACATAAATTATTTACTGTCGCCATGTATTTATTTATGAACTTTTACTTAAATATTATAAGTTCAACGTCTATAGAAATAAATTTATCCAAAAAAGTATGCAATCTTATTATCACAATTTCTTTACACGTTATGTATCATCGGTCATAATGTAATTATTGTTATTAAATTGTAATTATTGTTATAGCTGGAATTTTATACCGCGCATGATATTAGTGGTCATTACGTTTAAACCGTATGCCTCGAATTTGAGTACTCCACTGAAAAGCAGGAACAATCACCCTTCACTTTACGTAAGATATTCTATAATGAAGCTCTTTGTTTATATACATAACGGGGTTACAATGTTATATTTACATTATAGCATTATTTTATATATATGTTATTTTTGCACATAGACAGAAAGTATGAACAATCAAAACTCGAATTAATTAAAAAACGCTTAGCAGTATTATATCAAAGAATTGATGTTTTTAGTATATATTTTAAGTTTTTATTTGAATTGATAAGAATCTAAAGAATGGAATATTCAAATATTTAGACTCAGTTATTTTTATTTTTGCGCGACTACACAATAATGTATATTAACAATATCTACATAAGTTTAATTAAATGTATCAAAAAAAAAAGGATCGACAATAGTTTATTTGTAATAATTTTCGTCAAAATACAAATAATCAAGGCTCCATATATATAAGTTTATAAGAGTGCGGAATAACCATATTAAAAGTTTTCTAAAAGTATTTAAATTACTTATTATTATAAGTTTTTTTTTAGTTTTCCTTTCATTGCTTTCTATTTTTTGTTTCTCAACACTATCTTACTACTATTTTTTATAGTATTGTAGTGTTATTAAGATATGATCAGTATATTTAAAAAATATTTTATTTAATATACTGTAGAAGAAAACAAATTTTATTAATGAAGTAAAAAGAAATTAATTTTTATGTGTAGAATTTGTATCACGAGTTTATATGCATATACAGATGTATGTATGCATGTATATAGTATATAATACGAATGTAATTTTCTTTTAAATTTCCTTATCTATATTTTACTGTATTTAATTTAAATTTATGTCAATAGCGGTAATCACAAATAATTATCTTTTAGCAAATTAATTTCATCTACAAGCAACAGTTTTATTTACCCAATTCGTATTTAAAATATTCAGTATTTAGTTTAGCTTTACATATGATTATATAATATATAATGTGTACTATATAATATATATTTTAATTCAGTTGTACGTATGAAAATCGTATTAAGATAGATAAATTTCATATAACACGTTTGTACTTCGTAAAATATTAAAATGTTCGACCTTTTGCATTGATATACTTTCATTTAAAATATTTTTATATTTTATATGCTATGTTTCAATCAAATTATATGTTATACAATATTTACTCGAATTCCTTCATTGCAGTTCTTTTTTCACTTCATAAATTTTCTTTTTAGTGGCACAAGGAAGTTTCTTCCCAAAGTCTATTAAATATCAGATGTTGTATTTCTTTAAGGTGTAATCATTTCAATTTGTATATAAGCGCAGTTATAATATGTTTAAAATTAATATTTTATAAAATTGTAAATTATCGATATCGTTTAATATGCGCAGATTTATTTATAATACTTGAATTATAAGAAATGGATCATTCGTTTTGACATTTTATAATAAATATTTTTTTATTTTAAGTAACAAATAATATAATGTTCTTATTCGTTTTGAACATCAAAATTTCAGACTTACTATGGTAAATGGTGTATAAATGCTTAAATTTTCGAAGATATTGTTTTTGGATATAAATTTTCCATTGAGTTTCAATTTTGTATAATATAAAAGTATAAAGAACCACACTAATACAGACTATTACACTTATTGGTTTTTCTGAAAAAATTATCTACTTATAGAATAAGTTTTTACATTATAATTATAGTAATGAATAAATTAACTTATTCACATTTATTTTAAAAATATTACGAAAAATTTATATTTAACAAAAATAACATGGATTCATTTGGTTTATTTTACATATTCGAACTATTCATTATTTGGGTTAATTATTAAGTTTCCTTTTTATATAAATTGATACTAAATATTAATGTAAAATGCTTCATTTACATTTCATCATAATTATTTTCCTAATGTATTTTTTTTTTTTTTTGTAAAATTATTAATAATTTTTAAATATTTTTCCATTACTAATTTCAGAACTATTTTAAAATAACTTAAGAAGTTTTTTATATCTTATTTAAAATGTAAGTGAAAATAATATCTTTTAACATCATTTATACATATTAAATAGAGTAACTGAATAAATTCATGTCAGTAGAAAATCCATACATATGCCTATCATTGTCTTTACAGTACAGATCTTGGCTAGTAAATATATGACAATGAAATAACCATGTACTATTGTTTTGCGAAACTAGCATGCGAAATAGCACTAAACTATTTCGTTTGTAACACAAAACTTAACCAATTTTTAACACTTTTTTATAACGTGAATCATTGATGCAGTAATTAAATTTTTTAATTTATTTCTGTTATATTTATGTTGCACCGATCATTGCATAATTTTTAATGCATATTGACATTTAGGATTATAAAGACTGAATATTGGCTGCCTTCATACAAATAATGGTTTAATTAGCAAAATAATATAATAATGATTTTTCAATTATTAGAAATTTGTTTTCCTTTTTTAACAAATTAAATAAAATTAGTACTTGAAAGATACACGTTTAGTTATTTATATAATAAAATGCCTAATATATTTTATTTTAGAATTTCATAATTTATGCAATGTATGTCATTACATAATACATATATTTATAGATTACAGGCATTTTGTGACTGAGTAAATTAAATTAATTTATATATAATTTTTAATTTGAATGTTTAATAAATAAAATTAATTATAAAATTTTATTACTAATCATCTTATTACTGTGTTTGATATATAGACGTGTTGTTGATCCATTTATTTATGGACAGCATCCGCGTTTCTAAGGATTTACTTTTATTTTATTATTATAAATATCTAAATATTTCGTATTTTTTTAATGGACAAATTTTCTACGCCAATACTATTATGGAATAAAATTAGTAAAAATTTTATGAAATATGAATATTTGAAATATGTAATTAATTCTTCCAGTTTTATTTCTTTTTAAGAAAACTAGCATTGGGAAAATTAAATTAAATATGTAGGTCAAATCGAAAAATAAAGATGAATTTGCATATATGCTCGTTTTTATTATGCAATTTGTAAGTTCGTATGCTGAATGTTCGGAGGTAGTATTTTCAAGAGTTACATAAAATATATAATCCATCCACAGTTAGCATCACTTATTATCTAAATAAAAAGTTACGAATTGTCGTACTCTTGAATTCTTGTATCACATTTGTAATTTAACTTTTCAAACTATTAAATCTCTTATATACTCTACAAGTATTATAATAAAATACAAAATAATTTACGTTTATAAATTACGATTTTATATTTTACGCTGTGTAAACTTTTTTAATTTGATTGCAGTATTTATAGAAAAGTTACATAATTGTTATATTAATGCATTAATTTTATTTAATAAAAATTATTATTTCAGTTATCTAGTATTTTTATTTTATAGATTAATTTTTATAATTTTCTATGAAAATTAATAAAATTTTGTTGACTAGACTATATAACACCAATAAAATTTTATGGCTACTACTATTTTGTATATTGTATTTTTAACATATAATTTTGTATTGGTCCAGTGTGTCATAAGACTTGTAACTATTGAAATATAAAGCTTATTGAGTTCTAAAAATTTATCTCACTGATGTCTTGTTTTTATAAAATTTTAATAATTTTGAAATGCTTTTTCAAATAATTATTAGAGAATTTAAAAAAACACGATTAATATCAAAATAAATAAAAATGAAATTAAAAATGAACGAGAAACATTCGTTTATTTACTGAATCTTTAATTTTTTAAATTATTATTATTTATTAAAATATAATGATTAAACTGTTAAAACATACTAGTAGCGATTTCTACAGTAAATATAACAAGTAGATATGTGAAACACTAAAACTTATTATAAATCTAGTATAAATATTACAATTATATTTTATACAATATACATGCAAATAAAAGTATTATTTGTATAAAAGCATAAAATGCATCTTATATAATATAAAAACACCTTTATCTAAATAAATTTCTATTTTTACTTCATTTTTTTGAATTTAATAATACAAAATATTATACGTACAAATATCGATTAATTGTTTTTAAAAAGACAATTGAATCTTCTATTAATTTTCTTATTTTTCATTATTTTATACTGGCTGTTATGTATCATTGATATTTAAATATTAATAATATATAGAAATGTAAAATAAAACAAAGCTATTAAACTCATATTGAAAATTTAACAGCCTGTACAGTCAATATATTATCACATAGTTTTATATCAATATTGTTTTACATGATACTTGATTAAGAATTCATCATTTCGCAATAACTTTATTGGTTATTTATGAAAATTATTATAGAGTATCGCGAACTTGAATAAAATTCTTTAATCGTGTAAAATTTAATTTTATCAATATACAATTGAATTCTTTAATTATCTACTTCCTAATAAAAATTCGTTTAAATGGCACTTATTTTACTTGTCTCCCTCAGTTTTATAGAATAAAACATGATTGTAGTGCTTACTTTTTATAATTCAGTATTTAGTATGTAAATTTTTTATGGTAAATAAAAAACTCAAGTATCACGCAACTCTACATTTATTGTCAAGTTACGCTTCGTGTTCTCCATTATTTATACCAATAAGGGACTCTGTTTGCTCTACCTCCAGATCAGGTATCCTGGAATTAAGGAACATAATTTATTTTCATTTTACAGTTAATAAAATATAAAGATAACTAACATATTATATTTTTTGAATGAGATAATCTTGCTGAATTTTTTGCCTAAATTATTTTATTAATCAAATAATAAATAATTGACTTGAATTAGAAGATACCTGTATTTCTATAAAAACAAATCGGCTTATCCACAAAACTTACTTCGTAAACGATTATACATCATTTACAATTAATTATTGTTCAATAACTTTTCAAATTGATTATTCAAATTTTTCTTCCTAAACGTTAAAAAAAAGGCTATAATGTGGTATATCATTAACATTGATATGGTTTGTTTAAAAATATTTTACAAACTTTAAACCAAATATCTTACCTTCCATTTTAAATGTAAAAAATTAAAATTTAATAACTTACAGCAGTTATAAAGTATTTTCCAGTTACTTTCATAAAACAAAGAAAGAAGACATATTGAGTTATTAAGATAATTTCTTCTTTGTCCATCATAAAATTTTCATTTAATGCATTAACCTTTTCAATAATTAAAAAAGCAAACAATTCAAAAACATATTTATAAATTTTTATTGATCCTGTAATTATATTTTTTTAATATTATCAAACTAATAACTGTTGTATCATATTTTAGAATCAGTAAAATTATTTATATCCAATCAATTTAAAAATTATTAGTTGTAGACAAAAAGAATAACAAGAAATAAAATACCTTTGATAATTTTAGTTACATTAATATTTTGAATGTGTTACTTTAAATAAATTTATTTCAAAATTAAGTTTCAAACAATTAAATTATAAAAAATGATATGCAGTTTACCTTATGGATCTACTTCTACGACAAATCCATATATATAGCTTTTTTATCATATCTAGAACAGGATCCCAATTATCAAAATGCGATAAAAGAGATACTGTTAAAAATGCTAAGATCATTGGAATGATTCCAAAATAAAAAATACAGGGATACTCCACTTTCTTCAATAATATGTCAATAATCATAGATATTGGCATTGTTAAGCTAATTGCTAGAGTTGCTATGAGAGAAGAAGTTAGGAAACATCCCCTGTAAAAATTTTCAAAAGCACTGCATCACTAATATCTGTGTATTTATATATTCTTTAAATGAATATTTTTAATTACCATAACCAAAGAACTTCACTAAGTACAGTTCCAATTAGACCATTTATTATAAGAAACACCCACTGGTGAACATTTGGCCATTCAAATTCTTCCCATTGGCCATAATGCAATATAAAAAATAAAGGCCATAGTAATATTAAATTGAAAAGACCAAGAAAGCCAAAAAACATTGGTATATCCATTTTATCTTCATGGTCAACCTTTTTTTTTAAAAATACAACATAAGTAGCATAAAAAAATGCACTGACTAGAACTAATATTACACCAGTAGGTATTCGATTGGCTTCTAAAGTCAAATCTGAGAATCCAACAAGAATCTTAAATTTTGTAAAATTATAGTAGATTTAATAATTATGGAAAATTATAATTTATAACAAGCATTAATAATCACTTACAAGACCAAAAATACTTATCGTTACAGCAACTAATTTTGATAATGTAAATTTATCTCCATTATTGCTGGGAAAGAATGCTGCAAGGAAGAAAGTAAATAAACTAGATGTAGACGACAGCACAGTAACAATTCCTGCCTCTGTTTCAGATACAGACATTTGATAAGTATAATTTGCAATGAACCACTACAAATTGAAAATATTATTAATCCATTTTATAATTATTAATTTATTTTTACTCAAATATTAATAATGTATATACCAAAAAACAGAACATTAATGCAATTTTAGCAACTTTTTGAATAGAAAATTTATTAGCTTGTCGTCTAGCATGTTCACCTGCTCTAACACTAGCTTGATAACTTAATCTAGCTAATAGAGCTTCAGTTGCATCATTCTGTGACATGTGTCGAACTTCTGCTAATTTACTAAATCTTACTGAACGAACAGATAAATCATCACTCTCAGTACCAGAAGATCTATCACATTGTTCAAGAGTTTTAATTGGTATAAATGTAGAATCACTTAAGCTTGTGCTACCTTCCGAATAAAAATTATCATCTTCTACATTTGGATCTATAAACTGTAAAAATAATACCATTTAAAGAGATTGGTCAAAGATAAATGTATTTATTAAATATATGGCTTAATTTTTAAATTACCTTATATGTTGCTGGTTTGTTACATTGATCTCGCCATGGTGGCCAGAAACACAAACCAAGTAAGTACAAAGAAAACATTGAAGTTTTGATATAAGTACTAAAAAATGGTTTATCAAAGGATGCTTCTTTATAAATATACTGTAATAAAATATAATTAATAATCATACAATATGAATATGTGAAAATAGGAATTCTAAATAACTATTCGTATATTATTTACTTTTGTCAGCTCTGAACCGGAAACCCAAATAATATCAACTAGCAATAACACTGAAAGTCCCAAAATAAGTCTCTGAGATTTATTCATTATCAATACTAATTTATGGGGATCCTCCGCCATCCCTTCATGTCTTGACTGACGTAATTCTACAGAGCAGCTCATACTTTGTTTATATTGTTATTTTTTTTAATTTTCATTTCTTATATCTGTTATCACAGACGATAATGTAATTTGTAGCTTAAAGTATCATTTATCTGAATATAAAATAACATTTGAATGTTATAATTTAATTTTTAAACCAATACTTAGAAGACCATTAGAACAAAAATTTAAATAATTACGATACTAATTTTATTTAATAAAATTAATATTCAGAAATTAAGGTAGGCAATAGAGATAAGTATGAATATGAAGAAATGAATAATCTTAATGATTACTAGTAATGGTTCACAAATATTATGGCTAAATATATTCGCCTTGGAAATCATTTAATTAAATATTTGACTTACCAGTATATTAATAAGTTGAAAGTTAAACGTGTTCTTCTTATTTTTGTCATTTTCTTTTTTTTTCACTCTTTGTTTTTAATTACACTCGTTTCTTCGTAGTTTTCTCACTTTTTTTTACGTTTCCTTCAGCAAACAGTCAATGATTGACATTTCACAGCCTGCATTTTCGATATAACTATATGTTATAATTATGGAGTATATAGCTACGCAATACTAGCATTGAGTGAGTGGTATTCATCTAAATATCGTAATTTATGGTGGTAAGGTACTATATTTTTTAAAAGTTCTTAAGTAAATGCGCGTATATATATGCATATGTGTATATATATATATATATATATAATCGTAGGCTATTCTACCTTGCACGTTTCCAGTGTAGAGAAAGGGTTAAGGTTAAGAGTGTTAAGAAAGGGTTATCATTGCCGCGCTAGTACCGGCAGCCATATTCAATATGTGACGTATCCAAATCATGACATTATTTAGTTATTTCATAATTCATCAGAGGTCATGACATGTTCTAAGTATCTAATGTAAAACATTTTTAAATATATATTTAAAATTTTGAATCTATTAATTTTACATATGATAATATATGACGATATTTCACAAATTCTTGAATTTCCTATAGATTAAATAAAATTAATTAAATAAAAGTATGTTGGAATTCATATAGTGTATACAACATATTAAATGTTTCTTTAATTGTCATAGCAACCCATAGTAAAGACAAGTGATAATTTTTTTTTCACGAATCGTAAGCAGTATGGACAATAATATTCTTAATAATGGAAAAAGAAATGAACAATTATCAAGCAACCAGAGTTTTCGGGCTGATAAATCAAATAAGAGTATATAAAAAACAATTATTTTTGTTTTTACATTGAATATATATTATTCACTTTAAAAAATAACGTTTTGTAATATTTTAATTTTTAGATTTTTATCATCTTTTTTTACGTAAAATTTTTATAAGCCGTGTATAACTTTGTTTAGATCTAATATGGAAAAATTTTTTACAGTACCCCCAGAAATACCACCTGTCGAAGAAAAAAATTGGATACTGCACAGATATTATACGCGACATGAGTACGAGATTTGCAAAATTATAATTGAACAAGAATTAGAAAAATTTGCTGGTCTTACTGAGTTTCCTCATTATTTAAAGGTAATAATATATTTATTATCGCGTTAAATCATTTTCAATATACTACTTAAACAATTACTTTTATTTTAGGGTTTAATTTTAAGAAAAGAAGGTAGAGTGCAAGATTCGTTTAATTGTTTTCAAAATAGCTACGAAGTGAATCCTAGAAATGTTAATAATTTTACGCAAATTGCGAAATCCTTGTATGTAAATACATAAATATGTCTTTATAAGAAGTATAGAATAATGAAATATTCATATGATACTGATAATTTATTCTGATAGAATATTTAAAGGTTGATTTAAAATTCTACGTAGATTTATGTGTATAATTATATTTTGTCTTTCTCTCATAGAGTAATAATTACAGCACTTATAGTAATTGCAGTAATAGTAGAAGTAACACAATCTTCGGTACTAGTATTGAACAATTCATACAATTATTAAAAAAGTTCTAAAAATATAAACGTTTATTGCTTCATTAATTCTGTAGTAATGTTTATCAATATTACTGTTTTTATAAATTTAAAAATATAATTTTAAAATATAATTCTATTACATAATAAAAAATTAAATTATTTATTAAATAAATAAAATTTTATATAAAATTGACCAATATACGTATTTCTAAATTTTTTACATTAAATTATTCAATATTTATGGATATTCTTTAATTTATAATATACTTCTAATGCAATAGATTTCTTTTGGGTGATTACAAACGAGCCATCGAAATATTTCTACAGGCGAAAAAAATGAGTGATCCATCAGAATGGGAAATTAATTATTTTTTAGGTATCACTTTGATTATATGTAACGCATCATATTACATTATAAAAAATGATATTGGCACATTTTTTTGTTAGGTGAATGCTATACAAGAACGAATCAGCTAGAAGACGCGGAAACTCACTTAATACACGCAACCAAATTGACGAAAAATGAGAACCCGTATATTGCACTTGTTAAACTATATGTCATAAAAGATCGAATTATTGATGCAATAGATATTTATACAAATGCTTTAGTGTTAGTTTAATTTTTTAATTTAATTACTTTAAAATAAGGAATTGTATTAAATTATCATATATTAACCACTTTTAGAGTATTCGCTCATTTTTGTTTCTGATAATTAAATTATTAAAAATATCAAAATAAAATTATATGTATTAAACTATTATTTTAAACTAATTATGTATCAAATTACTATAATTAATTATTTTTAGTATATTGATATGTTTTTGTTGCTAATAACTAAAATACTTGCAAGTGAATGAAAAAAATAAATATTTATATATTTTTTTAATAAAATAAATATTCAATTCTTGATATAGTATTTTTCAATTTTAGTCAAATATAAATAAAAATTTCAAATAAATTTTAACTTCCTATAAAAAAATATTTTTTTAACATAAAATTATTATATATTATAGTTACTATTTTAGAAGTCTCAAAAATTTATAAAATATATAGATTTTGAATTATAAGAACATTTACACAGAATGGTGGGATATATACGATTTCTGTTATAGTTCGATACCTGAAAGTGAAGAAATAGCTACAGAATTAGGACAATTATACCTTGACGTAGGTGATATTAAGCGAGCTTTTCAGCAATTTGGTACAGTGTTAGCTCAATCACCAAATTACACTAAAGCCATGATTCCGATGGCTTATATAATGCAGGTATAGGGTAATAATATATAATATCATTGTGACTCAATAGTTACTAAACAGTTAAATGTTTTACAACTATACTCGATTATCTTTATTAGTCTAACGGAGAATACGACGTTGCCTTTTCCAAGTATAAAATAACCTCACAGTCAATGCCGGAATCGTGGACACTATGGAACAATATTGGGATGTGTCTTTATGGAAAAAAAAAATATGTCTCCGTAAGTTAAAAAGTTCCGAATAATACAAAAATAAGCAAAAGACTCGAGTGGATTGAAGGATTGTTAAAATTATTGACAAGGGAACCATGGTATATTGATATTTTTATTTACAAAAAATGAGTGTTTACAATTAAATACGATACTCTGAATATGATTTGCAAAAGCACACCTAAACTAAAATCTCAAAGAATGAGAAATATAACATTAGACCGTAAATCGTAATCGGCATTTATATGATTTATTGGAAAGTATGCCATAGTTTATTTTTAGTATAGCAGTTCATTTGTAACTAATGGTTATGACATCGAATTTTATTATATATAATTATCATGATTTTTATATGCTTTAGTAAATGCTAACTGTATCAACGATAATTGTTAAAAGTACCAATCGTAAATAAATCGTAAGAAATCGTATAAAAACATAAATATCTTTTTTATTGCATTTAAAAATAATTTATTAAACATCGTTAAAGTATGCTAAGAAAATAAGCATCTTCAGTGTATTATATACTAGAATATTTACAGTCGTGATCATGAAAAAGTGATTTGATAGAACTACGATAATATAAAGATATAAAATAATATACTAGTTTTAAAAATGTTTAATAAAAACTTCATAACATCTGTACAAAATTCTATAAATCATTAATATAGAGTTATCAATTACCTTATCCTAAATAAAATACCAACGAATAAATAAAGTTTAAAGAAAAAATATATAAAAATATGATGTTTTAAAATTAAAAAATATAAAGTTTAAAAAATTCTCAAAATATTAAGAAAAAATAATATACTTTTGAATCAATATTTTATTTGAAGTATTATTTAAATTATTATTTATACATTGGACTAATGTAACTTAAAATAGTAACACGTATTAATATCCAAAAAATATATTAGTTACTAAAAAGTATGCTATTTATACTACAGAATTACAATAATTTCCATTTAATTTTTATTGGTTTGTAAGTTAAGATATAATGTAGATATAATATATCAACTAAATGTTATGCGGAAATTTATTTTCTTCAAGTAAAAATTCAGTACATATATAAATATAAGCAAGTTTTCAACCATATAATGTACGGGGTTAATTTATGGATTCTTTAAAATTAAAACTATTTACAAATGAAGAGCAATAAAGCGAAAATGAGAGTGCAGATGTTCCTCGAAAGAGTAATTATATATTTTTATAATTTTCTGATATCACTACTATTTAACACCAATGGCGTTAATATTTTTCAAGTACTAGCTGATGTTTTTTAACGTTCGTTTGTATAAAAGCTTGAAATTTAGTGAGTCATTAAATGCTTGATTGTGATTATTCGATATTTATTTTCATTGTAGGCAATTACGTGTTTGAAGAGGGCCCATTATTTGAATCCATTGGCATTAGCGCCAGCTTGCAATCTCGGCTTAGTCTTCTTGACAACTGGACAGGTGGTTTCTGCTACAATATATCTATGCGGTGCAGTGGCCTCGGGGCGAACCAGTTCCATGGCTTATCTGCTGTTGGGATGTCAGTATGCAAGATCTCTAGTGGGTTTTCTTATTTAGAGACTAACAAAGTTTGATTTTTTCTTTCTTGTAATCAATTTCGAAAATATTGAAAAATAAATTGATTAGTTTTTGTAATCTAATTTAAAATATTCAGCAATATATAGATCTGAGAACAGGCATGCGCCAAATAAAATACATTCCTTACAGAACATTAAAAAAACTAATTGTACTAGAAAAAACATATTGTTAAATAATCTATAATATATAAAAAATCTATTGAATAGAAAAATTGTTTATCTTGAGGTCATACAATACAAAAATATATTCATATCAATAATACTTAAAGTATTTCATCTTGAATAAAAATAACAAATTATATCGTTTTGGTCGCTGTATAACTTTTACAACTAAATAATTAATAATTTGTTTACTTTAGGACAATTTAACAATGAAAACATTTATTATAATTATTTAATTTATGTTTAAGTATTTCTACAAAATTTAGCAAACGTAAAAAAGGGATTAAAATAATAATAAAATACCTTTCTGTCATTGTAAATCAAACGTTCTCTTCCATTTGTTCTTTAAATATTGAAGTTCTTAGATGTTTGAGATGTTATTTTTGGTTGTATAGTGGCACTTAAACGTCTGGACGATCTGGATGGCGCTGAGAGTTCCCTGGAAAAAGCGCATTCGCTTGCCCCACAAGACCCGTGGGTACTTATCAACTACGCAGTGGTATTAGATGCTCAGAAGAAGTCGAAGCAAGCGCGTGAGCTCCTTGTTGTGCTTAATGATGTCAACACACTGATTGATCTCGATCTCCAGGTTGGCTTTTTATTTTTGAAGTAAATTCTTTCGTTCACACCGTATGAACTTTTTTTGACTGTGAATGATTGAGATTGTTATATTGGAAGCTTGTGAAATATTTTTATAGCACTAATAGGTTTTTAAGATCGTTTTTGTATACTTAGATATTTTTTAATTACAAAGTACAATCATTTTCTTTTATAATGCGAAACTTTTATCTATAGTTTGCACGAATTAAACACGAATTAGTGTCAGCAAAAATACTTACCACAATGTATTCTAGTAATATCGTATTACAAATTTATGGTTATGATTTACGGATGTATTGGAGCGTCGATCTAAAAGCCTTAATTTTTAGCTTATTTTATTTATTTCAAAATATATTCTTATGATGGATATATTGTTCATGCTTTTCCTATTTTAAAAATAGAATCCTATATTATTTTTATTTTTCGGATTAAAATATATTATTGCATCGAAAATTTTTCAATTCGTATTACTTAAGTATAATACATTGCATATTGTATATATATTGATGAATGTTTAATAATTGCAGATAATAAGAATGACAAAACAATTAACAGTTAAATTACAAGCTGATGATAAATTGTCGCGGCCTTTATTTACTCAAGAAGAAAGAAGTTTTAATGAAGATGAAGTATAAATAATGTAATTTAAACATTGTTATGTTCAGGAAACGGAATAAAAATTATTTAACAATACTTTGCAAAGTGAAAATTATTGATTATACATTTGAAAAATGAATCAATTATTTATCAGCTATAAGTAATTAATGAAATTTATGAAACTAGAATTGCTTTATAACATTGTGTTTATAACAGTGTATTATATTCTATTTAATAGCCCGTTTATTATTTTTTCAATTACATAGTTTTTAAAGATATATTTGTTATTAAAATAATAAAGAATCAGACTGTCTAAACTAAATAAATATATATATTTTTTATTAAAATTTTGATGATTTATTATTTCATAAATTTCTATAATTAAAAGAAAAATCTATATGAAATATTTTGTGTTAATTCCAGTTTACGCATTCAAAATTATCAAGTATATAGAAATTCTTATAAAATTAAAATATAAAAGTGTAGAATGAATCGTTATAAATTATTTCCACGTAATATCAGTTTCTATCAACATTTTGGTAATTTAAATTTTCATTACAAAAAGTAGGCATTTCAATACACAAATTATTGATAATATATTTATTTTTAAATTGAATCATGTTCAAATTAAAACTTTTTAGAATATAATTTAGAATAATTTAAAATAAATATATTATTACTATTTTTTTCGCATGATATATTGATACATCAATTTTAAGTTTTGATAACTTACAGGAGTTACCTATAATGTTTATTTAAAAAAATAATAGTCTCCTATATATTTATATATTACTGAAAATACATAAATAAATAATAATAATAATGAAATTTATAAAATATACTGAATAAAATGATATTTATTTATTTTACAATAATATTAAGAGTTTAATCATAAAATATACTAAGATTTAATTTTAGAGATATCTAATATTAATACTAATATCTAATATTTAGAGATATCTAACTAAGTTTACAAGCTTTAAATCTTTTTGAAACTGAATAATTTTATTATTATTTATTAAAATTTAAATGTTTTATAAAAAAAAATATTAGCATGATAGTATTAATAATAATGCGTAAATTGAACTTCGATTATTATACTATTAAATATGACAGTATAAAATGAGAATATAATTAATCAATTGTCAGTTCTCGTAAATTGATTATTTCGTATTTTAAAAAATAATTCTATTAATTACATGTATTTAATAATATGCATCAATTATTTTTCATAGAAATTCGTAGTTTTATTTTCAAAGAATGTTTAGGAAAATGTTGAATAATATATGTTTGTAACATGAAAATATGAGAAATGTCAAAAGATAAATAATCATCATATTAATTTTTCTCTTTCCATACACGTGTACGTATGTATTTATAGAAAATAAAAGGATGAAAAAAGAGAGAAATGTATAGATAGATGCTTGAATTAAGCTTTTGCACAATAAGCTTATCAAGTATACATCGTTGTAAAGTGGAAAAGTATAAAGATACAAAGAGAGCTACTGCCAATATATTTAAGAAATACAGCACTTTGAAATTGGAAAAAAACATTTTCCTCTTTTCATTTTGACATTGTCTCTCTTCATAAGATCTTTTGGCTAAAAGTAGGTTTGGATAAGTCATTCAAAGAATCATAGATGCCTGGTCACCTTTGCAATTCATGTCACACGCACGTGCTCTGGACGTCAGTCTGATGCGTACAAGCTGGTTGCCATTTGCTAACTCGGATACTTGGTTTGAACAGTCTGCCAAAGGTCATGCGGAACTGTCGAGACATTGAGCAGTAGAGGATAAAGTTGACCGAACCGTTGAAAAGGGCAAGTATGTCCATAATCTCCCCAAGACTGTGGTAACAGCTTCGAAAGAAACAGTCTCCGAGAAGAGCCGAGAGTAGACCCAGTACACCCTGGGGTATCTCCGTAATAAGGAAAAGCAGGAGAACAGCCACAAGCATGCGCGTTGTGCGGTCCGCTCGGCGTTCCGTCCCTCCCACGTTGGGCAGCTCCTGGCCGTCTATCGGACGCAGTAAACGCCTACGGGCCTTCGCTCTGCTTGAATAGAATCACTATTCTTGCTTTATTTATTAACCTAATGTGCTCGCAATGAGCACAATTAAACTCTCTTAAATATTCGTAATTCTATTTTTATTTTGTTACTAATGTAATCCCGAAAGTCCGATAAATAAATAGCCTTGAATGTATCTCATATTTTTATACTTTTATATAAACATTGACACTCTTATCATTGAATAATCGCTGTTTTTACTAGTAAGTATAATCTAAAATAATTCAGAATCGGTGCAAGTTTCTTGCAGAGAATACAGTAAAAGTTGAGGACTACATAAAAAGAAAACAAGCGAGGAAAGTCAAGAAATCGCATGTAATGCTCACTTGTAAAGGGCTTGTATAAGTCGACAGCTAATAACGGTGAGTACAATGCACGGAAGTAGTTTAACGAGGACACCGAGGAGCCAGAAATTAAGACGGTAGAGGAAGACTTGTCCATTAGCGTCGTTGCTCGAGAGGCTCTTGCTTGCATCCACGTGATACAGCAGCTCCTGGCCGTTGTTTTCAAATAGCATCTGTTCTCGAATCTAGTCATCCAAACCAATATAGTTGCGTTTATTATTTAGACCTTCAGATTAATGTCGTTGCGCATGTGGACTTATGTGTATAGGAGTGCAAGTATTTTGCTTGCTAGTTCATTTTTACACTTTTATTTTTATTTTTAATCAGCGCATATCCAATATTTCTTTCATAAACTTGAACTCGAAATACTCATTTTCGGCATTCATTTCACACTCGTTTCATTAGGCGTTAAAGAGCCTAATGATGGTTAAAAATGATTCATATTTTGCAATTATACGTTAGTATAAGTTGTAGTATATACACCGAATACAATATTAAAAATATTTTCCAAATGTTTACATGTGGTTTAGGTAATAATCAACATACTTTATTTTTACCGAAGAACAACATTATGGTACGTTTGTAAATTAAATAGTCTATTGCTGTTAAAAACAAGAATTATCTTCTGATTTTTTAATGCATATGATTTTTACAAAGATACATTTTTCTAATTAATTAATAATAAGTCATAGGATTATACATCTTTTAAGAATATTTTAAATGTAACGTATATTTCTACAATAATTATGAAAGCATATTTTCCTTTTGTTCAAATTTTTTTTTTATAGAGAATAAGATATTTCATATAAATTTATCTTTTTTATAAGTAAGCAATAATTTAAAATCATTTTTAATTCGAATATTTATTTTTATCAAATTTTTGTAATATATCACTTCACTTATATATAGTTATTTTGGGTGCAAAAAAAAATAGAAATGGATAGCTGAACTATATATCACCTCAAAGACGAAGTAGCTGGGGGCACAGGCGAGGACAGCTGTGAGAAGGCTGCTTACTAAGGCCACTCGACATCTTATAGATGTGCACCAAATACGGCTACATTGGGGAAACCTGCGCAATCTGTTCATTAATACGTCGTTGATCGTTGACATAAAATGTAAACTCACCGGTATTCTCTTACCTGACAACGATGTAGCGCCAGACGGCAAGAGTCAGTGTGAGTCCGATGCTGATTGTGTGTAGCAGCTGGCTAAAGTGCATGTGAAAAAGCACGAAAACGGCCCAGCCATAGGGGAAGAGTCTGCGCTCGGGGAGGACTATATATTCATAAACGGCGAATGGTACATACTCGAGCATCACGAGGACGTCGGCAGCGGCAAGGCCTGTGAGGATACGATTAATGGGAGCACGGCGTAACTCCTTCTGTGTCAAGACTGCTACGTTAAGGAGATTGGCGAGGCAGCCGAAGCTGCATACAAGGAGGGCCACGTACCCATGATAGAGCCGGTAAGTCGCGGCCGAACGACGTAAAAGACTTCCGCAGTGGCAAGGTCCACAGGAGCAGCCGTTCCTGATTTCAGCAGAACGGCTGTTTGCACCGCTTGAAGCTCCAAAGCTGTTCACGTAATCGAGGTCCTCCTCGGTAATATTGAGGCGATGTAATAGCTCTGTGTAGTTAGCTAGCCTATGGGGTTGACCGCCTGGTTGTTGCATACTGGGCTTTTGTTCCTTCAGTGTACATCTGTTGCAATCTAGAGAATGGGTAGTAATACTAAATAGTAGCTTAATTTCTTCCAATTTATCAGATTTTTGGGTTCTAAAACAATGAATTATCTTTAAAAAGTGCAAAAAATATAATTTCCATTCACTTTCTGCTTCTTTATTTGTTGCTACCATTAGTTACATTCCTCGATCAATGATAAATGAATAAACTGACAAATAATTACTGTTGAAAATTAATAGTTTCAACTTTTATATATGAATAGATATAATACTTCGAACTTTAGAACATGAAATATTTGATATTTTACACTTAGTATAATCTATTGGAAGTATATAATAACATTTATAAATGTTTTAAATATTAGTTATATTACACATTTTCTTTTATTAATTTTTCTGAATTAAATAAATATTTGTAATATATATATATATCTGTTTACACTTAATTTAACTGTACAAAAATTACAATATAACCAAGTAAACTATTACCTTACATTTCGTTAACACTTTTCACTTTCTTTTATTGTATTATACTATCATTTTTATTAATAAATATATTTTTATTTGGAATTTCATTAAGCATTTAATGAAAATGAATATTTAACCAATTCAAAATAAAATTAAACGTGTAATTTAAGCAAAAATAATTGTGTAATAAAAATAATTGTGTAGTTACAATTAAAAAAGGCCTAAGGTATTTAATTAGAATAGATGAGTGGAGTAATTGTAATGAAAATATTGTTGAAAATTTCTATTTGTAATTATTGTAGTTTTATATTCATTTCTTTACAAAACTTTATAGATAATTATAAGCATAACTGAAATTTATATGTAAAGAAGGCTGTAAATGTATTATAATTCTATATTTTTTTGTTTATTTGTTTTTAAGTAATAGTATCAGAAGAAATAAATTTATTAGTAATAATGAAGCAAATATTATTTTAAAAAAATATCCATAATATAAATCTTATCTTAAATCTTTTTGACTACTTTTATTTGCATTGATTTTTCCAATAAAAATATTAATATTACTGAATATATTAATAAATATATTACTGAATTTTATATATAATACATATAGAACATTTTTATTATTAAATAAGAACTTAATATTTAGGAATAACAGTGCTTCAGTATAGTCAGCTGATGTAAAATATCGCTATTTAATACTTATTTTTCGATTTGTTAAAAATTAAGTAGGATTAACACACGTAAATTATTAGTCGTCCTGATACAAGGTATTATTAAATTTATAATAAAAAAATAATAAAAGAAACAAATATATTACAGTATTTTTATTATAATTCAAATATATTATAAATACACAACTTTAAATAATGGTTACAAAAGAAAAAAACATTTTCGTATCTTGCACAAATTATGTGCTCGACATTATGTTATGGGTAAACATTGTAGCGCATTAGAGTCTGTATTCTAATTAAATTAAAAATAAAAAAGAGAAACAGATAATGATCCTAAAAAGAAGTTAGCGAATGATGTTGTCAATCATAACTCCTATTAATAACATGTTTTTAATTATATTCATCTTCGTTCTTTATTGATAAATTGTCATGACCTTTTCTATCATGTGGCTTAAGCTAATGTTCAAAAGAACGATGATGACCAGGGGAACGTCAGAAAAACAGCATGATGTCATTTCATTATCATATTAGTACCGTCATGGTGTTAATACGCTGTTTGTTGCCTGATTTTCTCATAAGCTTTTATTTATGCTTGAAATTCGATACATTTCAATAACCAAATTTTTTACTGTAATCTTAATCTTCAATGTTACACAGCCGGACGAATTTTATTTCTCAACTATTAATTTTATATCTCTAATTTAAATATTCAATTATTTACACGTATTTGTTTATCTTTGAATAAAGCTTAAAAAAAGACATTTATGATGTTTCTTGTTTTCATAATTTTAAATAAAATATACATCACAATATTTGTAAGAAATACTTGTTTCTTAAAGCTTGTCGAAAATTTTCAAAATATCTGAAAATAATAATTATTCATATTTTTAAAAGCATAATTTTATAATTCGGAAGTAATCTACGAGATATTAAAAATATTGGAATAAATGCTGATACATAAGTAATTATTTATTTTTAATACACAAAAAAATTTCAACGGCAAAATTATAGAAAAACTATTTTTATAATTTGAGACATTTCTTCAGTATAATATCAGTATTTATTCATATATATTCAAATATAATTCAGTATAATATTCAGTATAATATAATAGCAATAAAATTATTGTTATATTTTAAAAAGTTTTTATTGGAAGTTTAAAGTTTATTCAAAGTAAAATTACATTATAATTTTTAACTTTGGTAATATCTTCAAGTCAATAAATTCTTTCATATAAATCTTATTATAGCTAAAATAGTAATAATTTCTTAATTCGATTGATTATATTTAAATAATGGTAATGTCAATAATAAAATGGTATTTGTATATTAACTTCATTATAGAACTTTCATATCCTGAATTTTTATGCTTGTATTTACAAGTTAGCATTACTCAGACCATAATATATTTTGCAGTACTGACACTTATTAATTTAATTATAACACAACAAAGAAATAAAATCTAATTCTACTATTTTTACTTATACATAAATATACAGATATTTATTTTACATATTTTAATATAATTTTATTAGATTATATTTGTTTTTTATAAACCAATAATATTATTAATACGTTAATAAATATTTTGTTTGATATAACTTGAAATAATTAAAAAATGGATCAGAATAATCAAAATAATAAAAAACGAAAAAAAAATAAATAAACGTTATTGTAAAAATTTTTTAATTAAACATCCAGCATCATATTAAATTTATGAAAATTAAAAATAATTTCCATTTATTATAATTATAGATTAAGTGTTCAAAATAAATTTTAAGTTATGTATTTAAATAATAAATAAAAAAGAATAATAAATTCTTTTATATGTTTTCAGTTTATATTATATTGTACAAAATTTATATTAATACAAACAGAAATTTATATTTAATACATTTGAATAAAAGTTGAATATAATTTTATAAAAAAGTAAAAAAATAATTTTGTTTGAAACATATGATCGATTTGCGATACTTTAATAATTATTAAAAATTTTCTTATGAATATTCGTAACGAATATTTTATAAATTATTTTAAAATGTTTCTAATACGAACAATAATTTAATTTATTAACAAATTATAAGTTATTTAACATTAAAATGTTTGTTGTTCTAAAATGATCACAAAGTAACATGGTATTAGTTAATAACTCCTACAATGAGTAATTAATGCTTTTATAACAATTATAATACAATAATACAACAATTATATTATTAAGTTTTTGAATAGTCAAAGTAATAAAGAGTAATTTAATTGTTTTAAGAAACTAAAAGCAAAAAATCATCATATTATTAATGACATAAACAAGTATTTATTTACTTACGGAGTATAAAAAATCGTCAATGATCAGAAATTTAAAAGAATCAAACGATATATTCGAACAATGGTATGCATCGGCAAAAGGTAAATAAGTGGTAAGATAATATTAATGTGTAATCTGATAAAGGTACGCCTCAAACACTACTGGTCGAACCTTCGCGTTACAGTCAAAGGTTCCGCTCTCTGTGCAGCGTGAGAAAATGTGCAAATGAGAAAGAGAGATAGAATGAATGAAATGAAGTGAATATACTGAAGGGAGGATGAGAAATAGATAATTTTCTCCTCTTCCTTAATGTCTTCGTTACTACTGAATCCAACATCCCCATTTTTCACTTGCACCACGGGTAAAATAATTTAATACCCTTATATTTTTTATTCTTAAACAAATAGCACTATTTTTCTTGTTCTTTTATTTATTTGTTTCTGAGACTAATTTTTTAATTAGGTTAGTGTTGTTTGTCCGGAGCAAAAACATAGGGTAATTTCTTTCCCATAGTATTTACTTTGACTTGAACTACAAAAAATTTTCTTTAATAAAGTATAAAGCTGTAAGATTCATTTTGCTGGAAACCTTAATAATGTAATTTATTTCCTCTCTACATGTTACTTAAATAAAAAAAGTGTTTGTAGTATATTGCTGATATTTTTTTCGTCACATCTGACTTTTATTAATGTCGTGCTTTATATAATATAATATCTACTTAATTTGTAAATGAAAATATTTTGTTAGAAGCAAAAAAATTGTAATTAAATAGCTAGAATTCACCAAATTGACATTTTTTGTTATTGAATGTATCGTCAATAAATATTAATAAAATGATAGTAATTATGATACATTTTTTTTAAGTAAACGATCTTAATTGATAAAAGTAATAATTAGGTGTCAATGTAGCAAAAATGTTTTGGTACATCATTTTTATTTAACACATATTCATAGTCATAAAATAAATTCACGCTTAACAATCGCATAAATAACAAGAAAATTTATTATGGCTATTTTATAACATATACATATTATATATGTATAGGCACATTTTCTATTAGAAATTTATCTATTGAATAAATTCTAATAGTTTCATAAGATTCATTCCGTCATTAAGATTAACTATTATAATAAATTTATCCATCAATATTGACGTAAAGTATCACTTAAAAAATCGGGATATTCGATCTTCATGTATATTAATATGTAACAAATTTTAAATATTTATATTAGTGATGATTAATAAGATTTTTATTATAACCAATGAAATTATATGAATTATGAAGAAATAAATCATTATACTATATAACCAAACATAAAATTTACCTTTATAACATTGTCCATC